GCCCTGCATGGATTATCTCACCCAGGTATCGCAGCTACATTACGCCTCATCGCTGCACGATACGTCTGGCCGTCCATGAATAAAGATGTTCGTATGTGGGTTAAGCAATGCTTACAATGTCAACGATCAAAAGTGCACAGGCACGTAGCCGCCCCCCTCGGTACATTCGCTACGCCTGATGCTCGCTTCGATCACGTTCACTTAGACATTGTAGGACCACTGCCACCATCGCACGGGTATGATCACATACTCACGTGCATCGACCGCTTCACCAGATGGCCCGAAGCTATACCCATCACGTCTATCACGGCGGAGACAGTTGCTCACCGCTTCGTAGAACGATGGATAGCTCTATATGGTTGTCCCTCGACTGTCACGACTGACCGAGGACAACAATTTGAGTCCGCACTATTCTCCTCACTTACTCGGCTGCTTGGTACGGAACGAATACGCACTACCGCCTACCATCCAGCTTCAAACGGTTTAGTTGAAAGGTTTCACCGCCAACTTAAAAGTGCTCTTCGAGCACACGAAAACGACGACTGGTACGAAACCTTACCGCTCGTTCTCTTAGGTATCAGAACGAGCTTAAAAGCAGATATCCAATGTTCCGCCGCTGAACTGGTATACGGCACGACATTGCGTCTGCCCGGGGAATTCTTCACACCACGGAGCAGACCTAATTTCGCTAAATCAGACTACGTCCAACGACTGTCTGCATTTATGCGAACGCTGCCCCCGGTGTCAACTCGAATACAACATCGACAGGTCGCTCTCCCTCGAGAGTTATCCACCTGTTCACATGTTTTCATACGAGTAGATTCGGTACGCAAACCTTGGCAACAGCCTTACGAAGGCCCGTTTCACGTGATCGCACGTCACAAAAAGACCTTCAAGGTTGATCAACATGACCGCGTCGAGATCGTCAGCATTGATCGTCTCAAACCATCTTCAGGTCCCATGCTAGATACATCAGAGACCTCATTCTCACGTCCCGGTCAACAGCACGCGTCATCTCCACCACCTACGGACGAGACGACAGTCTCACGACCAGATCAGCAGACCACGCCGTCCTTGACTTCGGATGAGATTGCAGGCTCGCGGAATACGAGCGAGACTACCGTCTTACATTCTGGTCGCCGAGTACGGTTACCCGTACGCTTCCGCAACTAGCCGCACAGTCAACAACCGATACGGTGTAGGATTACTCCTATACTACACGCATGCTACACTCTTCTTTCTTGATTTTTTTCCTATCCTGAGCCCACGCCTCCGACCATCCCGTCTGGTACTGCCGGCTTCGGTCAACTTTGGCGAATGTTTGGCATACGCTTGGTCTCGAACTTGGTCGTTATGGTCGCTTCTGGTTCCTCGGCTCAACGAGGTTTCATCCTACGCCTGCAGCGCTTCTGGTCCGCATTCCCTGCGAACGCAATCTTCAGATTCTGAATACGAACCACTCTGGTGTGGTATGTCAACTTAGGCAACAAATACAGCACACCGCTCCTGGTACCGTTCTCCGAAAAAGACCTTCGTTGGCAACTCGACGATCGATGATCGCTCTCCTGTTCCCCCAATTCCTCCGTCCTACAATCGCTCGTCAGCCGATCAGACTCGATACCACGCTACACTTCCTTATTTTGTGTATCAACTACATATTCTACTTTTCCATAATGGACGGTCCCACTTAGTTGCTTCTTGCTTTTACTGCTCTCCGTTGTTATGTGATAACTCTGGTCACTATCGTCTCGAATTACTCTTGTTCACTGTAAAACGAGGGGCAAATGTAAGTCCTGCAACTTCACCTCAGAATTGTTCAAAAACGTGTTCATCTTAAACCTAATCCGGTAAAGATCCTGGACTTCGTCCCCCTACTATAAAAATGATTTTGTTCTCTTGGAAAGCATTAAAAGGTACTCGGACTAAGAAAGCATAATACCCATCCATCTTGGAAGCCATCAGTTTTCGGCTAGTGTAGTATAGGACGATAAATAGGTAACTAATCATGCGATACCATATCGTTCACGATTATGCCCACCATGTTAGAACTTCGGCAAGATCCAGTGATTTATTACACTCAAGAGGACATCTGCTAATAAAAACTGTGGTGTTTGAATTAACTAATGGTTCGTTTTTAATTGTTGAATGCTCGATTTCGAATTCTAAATACAGCACATTAGTTCGTGCTTGTGTCGTAATTCTTGATTCAGTTGCGTTATTTCTGGGACTCAGTTCGTACGATAATTCAAATACTTTTCAGATATTATAGAATCACGAATAAGTTTGAATAAAAGTTTGTACAAGTTTTTCACCGTTTCGAACAACAAGTCACGGAACTGACTACAAGGGATTGAAACGATGGAACTTTTCGACAAATCTTTTAAAATAAGGCTCGACGATAACTTTAGTTCTGTGAGTGTTGAGGGAGATCACACTAATTTTTATATTTCTATCACTGTTAATGCTTTCTGTTTTGTTTCGCCCTTCAAGTTGCGGAGTGAATGTGAAAAGTCCGAATTATCCCTTTATTAGATTCCACGAATCTCATTTCTGTTATTGTGATGTCTGCTGGTTTCAGAAACTCAACTGTTCTGAGGCAAACATACTCACTGAAAATACAAGATACGCGAACTCACAAATAACTTTAGAATTGACGGGAACCAGTGTAGTCAAGTGGCTAGATCACCACTCTTTAGACATTGCAAAAGACCTGGTACTTGTAAAAAGTGGGGTTCCCCAAGGTACAATCCTAGGTCCTATTCTCTTTTTACTTTATGTAAATGAATTGCCAACTGTAGCAAAATCATCCGTTCTACTCTTTGCTGATGACATAAAGATTTGGAGACCCACACATAGTATGTCGGATAGAATAGTATTACAAGATGATCTTAGCTCATTGGTTGCATGGTTAGACAGGTGGTCACCAGCAGTAAATCCTAATTAGAGTGTAGTGATTCAGTTAAATAACTCTGATGAATCGTATTACTACGCGAATTCGCGCTACCCAAAGTAAGAAACTATAAAGATTTAGGAGTCATATTAAGCAATGATCTCAAAACCACTAGTCACTGTAAGGCTGCTGCTGCAAAAGGCTATAGGGTATTATGGTCTATTCGTAGGACTTTCCAGTATTTAGATGATGAAATGTTTAGATTACTATACCCGATTTATGTGCGACCACATTTGGAATACGGGATTCCAGCAGCGTGTCCCTGTTTTAGGTATGAAGCGGATATGCTGGAAAGAGTCCAAAGACGAGGTAATAAGATGGCATAAGGTTTATCTGGCCTATCTTATGAAGACAGACTGAGACGCCTTAACTTATTTCGTTATCTTACCATAGAATACGGGGTGATCTAATATTGGCTTATCGTATACTGAACGATGACCTTGATATTAATATGTTTTATCTTTTGCTTCCGTCTAGGGCCGATCATTTGAAAGGACATCCGAAGAAAGTTCAAAAACCGAGATCAAATCGTTTAGGTCTGGAGTTTCGTTTCTCGGACCGAGTAGTGAATTACTGGAATTCTCTACCGTCTACTAATATGTTCAAAACGAGATTGAACCTACACAGTATTACAAACTGCAAGGATTGATATAGGTCGACAGACCTCCTATCCTTATTACTGAAAACTGAGAGTGAATTATTCAATCGATTCATATAAAGTCGTTACAAAAATAGATGATACTGAATAACCCACTATCGCGATTTCCACTATAATAGTACTACCGGGGTACAAATCTTGAAAAATTGAGGTTCATCTACTCTGTCTAACAAACCTTGAAGTTCAATGTATGATTTGTTTTAATTAGTCATTTTGAAGGTCGATAAAGATCTCGCACGTAAGGTACTTTTTTGGGTTTCTGACTGTTACCCGCAGAGTTAGTTACATGCGTTTCCTTGTTAATAATACTGATATTCAACCTTCACTGAGCCAGACTTATGACTATACAGAACTAATTGTGGTCATGACTTATTATTACTCCTAAGTCTTTATGTTCTTGAAGGCATGGAAGAGGTTTACCATCAATGATAACGATAGTCATTGCATCGTTATCCACGCCAGGAGTAACTAATATCTCACATCGTCTTTTTCTTTTTCACTTCACTCGCACCTTAATACGATATTAACTGTCTTAGAAAGCGCTTAGGCGGTGTTCATCAAACTGCATGTATTCACTTTACTCAACAGTTTCAGTTTCAAAAAGACAGGAGGCTTGATGGCCTGACTGATAGTTTTATGGGTAAAACCCACTGAATTTGTTTTCAGTGCTACATTTTCAAATTTGTAGCCTCAGGAATTACTGTTGATGTTTTAAAATGCATTAAGAGTTGAATACTGGCTGTTTCCGTCTTCAACTAACTTGTCTTACCCTTCATTTCCATTTTTTTATGAATGATTAATTATAAGTTACGTTAATCTCGCAAGTCAGCGCCAGCTGGCAGACGTTATGAATGCACAAAGAGATTTCATTTCTGACGTTTCTGTGTAAACGAGTATAACTACTGAGGGAACGACGCAGTTAAAGTAATTGATAGCATCTATATTTATGATCAATGTTTAGCGATATGATGAGTGTTGTAATCACACTACCTTGTATTAAAGATATTTATATTTCATACAAACGTTCGAAATATATTTTGCTTGTGTCTGTAAAATTTTCACGAATGGATACTTCCTAAAAAAGAAACTGATCAAAGATTGTAGTATACAAGAAACCAATAAATGAATTCTCGGTTTTCTCCTTTTAGGATTTTTACCGGTGGTTTGGGTGGAAATATCTCGATCAGCATGTTTGGGTTTCAAAAAGCGTATTTTATTAGGGCTTGTTTATTGAATATATACTATGTATTCGTCAATTTTACTCTCTTTATTGTACTTTTCAGAATCTGCCTTACTGGGTTCCTGTAAATTTTCGTGCTTTCCCATCATTTTCAGTTAATATTAATTAGTTCCTAGCAAAGATTATATTACAATCCAATGCACTTGTAATTTATGAGAATGGATCATGAATCTGGATATCTTAAAGGACCTTCTTCATTGTTAACACCTGTATATTTGGAAGGAAAGAATTTAGTGAAAAACAAACTTCTAGATGACCGTTTCACCAAAACTTCCTCAGTTTCCAATACACTTTCTTCGCTCTCATTAGATAACAAATCATTAAAATCATCCATCAGTCTATCATATACAGGTTCAGTCCTACATTGTGATCACGAAGTAACAGTCAGACCCAATGATAAGCATCATGAGGAGAAAAAAACAAGTGTTCCAAGTTCACTTGAATCAACTCCTATCGACTGGTTAAACGACGCTATAATCAAAATTTCAGATACTAGTTTTCAAAATATACTAGGATGTACGGTTGATGACTCTATGAAAAGCAATTCTATTCATAATACATTTAGTGATTTACTGACATACGAACGCAAAGAGACCTACAAACAGCTGAAAGTATGTGATCATACATTATTTAATGTATTCAAACTTGCAGCTAGAGTTAATTAGCTGCATATCCTCCTCTATAGTCGATGGCAGTCCATCTAAAGAAAAGAAAATTGTTTTGGGACAATCAATTCACTCTTGCATTGATAAAGATCCAGAATTTATACTTAAAGTACTTTATACATTTTTAAGAAACGTTAGATTTTAGGCTGCTTTGTATTGCCGTAGAGAGTTGAATATACGTACAACAACCAATATGTTAATAGCTGTTGCTAGCTGTAGTGAGCAGTCTCGATCTTTTATTAAGAAGTACTTTTCTTCTTGTATTCGCACACCGTCAGACTGGATAGAAGTTGCCGAATACTATGCAGTAAGTTCGAAAAAAAGTAATAATCTCTTTAAAGATGATAAGTGGAAATTCAAGTTTGAGAGGTATGCCAAAAGTTTTACGGAATAGTATGGCATCGAAGTTCCTTGAATTTGATCAGTACCAACTTGGTAAGATGAGTTTCTATTTGTTAAATTTACTTTAACAGCTAAACATTCCAAACCCAGAGCAAGAGCTAATCGTTCAAAGAAATCGAAGGTAATTCGTTGTTTATTGATTTGTGATCTTCCTTAGGCTCTGAAAAGAAGCCAAAATGGTGTAGTAGTCAGTACGGATATCGATGCCATTATATATAGATTGGCACACTCACCTCGTATATATTTTACAATAAAGGAGCTTATTCGTAGATTGCACATATCAAGGCCCAAGTTCAACGTTATGTGCGTTCTGGGAAAACCTTACCCATCGGATAGTACTGATTTTATTCGTATGGGACTGGAAGGAGATTGGGATTCATCCAAAGCAGGTACACGTATGAAGTTTCCTATTCCTGTTACATGGGAAACAGAATTATCAGTCAATGGAAACAATTCAGATTCTTGGTCAAAACTTATAAGTAAGTTCCATAGTATGTTGAATATTTTTAGCACCTTGGGAAAAAAACATAATAAAAAAACAACTCAAAAGTAGTCTTGATTTTTATCGGTAGTGTTGTTGCATCCAGAAAAATAGCATTTATCTAATCATTGCATACTGATTGATGTAATACACGATTGCAGAGTTACCCAGTTTAGTCTTTTATGAGTGAAAAATTCGCTAATAAGTATTCTAAATAATCATGCTACTAATATGTTTCCATTCTACGCATTTTTGTTGTTGAATCGTTGGCATCTAAACAATAGTAATAAATATAATGTCGATCATATTTCAAGTACACTTCTATGAACTTAAATTTAAGGTACGCTTTCGGCATGTGTTCTGTAGATACTATTTATTTGTATAAACTGAAGCATGACAACATCGAAATTCCTCCATTATATTTTGCATTGTCACAAATAATATGATTTAGGTGTGATAACATTTTAATCATTTGAGTTAATTTAGGTCGAATCGTCCATTGACTAATGTACGCTTTTCCTCTCTAACTTTACACTTAATTCCAGTTGTTTTCGGTTTCGTGCATTTTTCCACAATCATCAAGATACAAAATCAAGTGATGTATGACTTTGTCTTAAAATTGGTTCACATTAACTGTAGTTTAAACAGTGTTAACAATAATTTGACCTATAATCTTCCCACTTTTGAGTTAACCATCTATTTCATTTGGTGTATCTGTATGATTGTATATTAAAATACATGATATTTTATAAGTTAACTTTTATTAACTATCATAGCTTTAAACAAAGTCCCACATATGGCGATGTTAAGAAATCTGCGCAATATTTTGATGTCCGGTATTCAAGATGATCTTCATGAGATAGTCTTAAAGAGGCTTACAGATCCTGTAAGTGTTTTATTATTTTAATCTTGTGTTTTACAACAGATTCTCGCATTGTTTCTTTCTAATCACGCAACATGACAGTTATTATTCTATAAAAAGCGTCTGTTTACCATAGACAGAATGAATTGGCTGATGTGGTACTTGGCCAGTTGTTATATTTGAGGGTAGATTTTATCTCAAAACAGTAAATTTCATACTGTAGCAAAAAAAGTTTTATTTAGGACTGTCGGCCAGCTATCTCTATCTTTTAAAACAATATTAAGTTATTAGTGAGTGCATTATTAACGTCATTGTTATTACTAACTCATCAGCTAGGTACAGGTTGGTACACTCGATTTAGAATTAGATTTCGAGTGTGACCCAGTGATATTATTAATCGTTTGCTCAGCTTGAAGTTGGTAGGTTGGCTTTCGAAAAAATGACTTCGTGACCAAAAGTAGAGTGTTCAGTTGACTGATTCACCGCTCCGTTGTTGTCAATTATAACACTGCAGCACCCTACTAATAATGCTTACTGATCATTTGTGCATCTTTTTGAACAAAATTCTTTACCTTTTTGGGTGAGGAGTCGTAAAAATGTCCTGAAAATTTAATGAATGTCATCACGTTGACTAGGTTCTGTCAGTCGGTTAATTGTAAACAGCATAGGATCTAGTACAATTGTGTACATTGATACAAATCGTCACACTACACATAACGAAATAAAGCCAGGGAAACAGATGGAATAAGTTAGCAAGATGATCAGCAAAGTTTGGGATATAATAGTAATTATCATTTGAATATAGAAATCTAAAAACAAAAGATGGATAGTTTGAGAGGGAAAAGTGAAATTGAAGAATGTGGAACAATATAAATCTTATGATTTAGAGGTAGATACAGAATGAACTCTTGAACCAAATCATTCGTTTTCTGTGATCAAGTCCCTGGTTTTTACATTGTTCTCGTCGGAAAGCAAATTATGTTGAATAATGTATAATTTCAGTTTTTATCATAGTCACTAAATCCAACAAAAATTAGTATATTTTCTGTTCTTTTTTAAATGCCTAAAGCGTATTATTATAGAAGGGAAGCAGTTTCCGTTCCGTTATTTCTCGGCTTTTGATACTATTGATAAACTTGAACGCAGATTTCGTTTTCAACGATTTTTATCCCTTACCTCAGGTAAGTAATGAATAATGTTTTTTTCAGAGTGCAAATCTAGGTTAAAATGAGTATATGATTATGCTCAAATATCGGTAAATATTTTGAAACTTTACTTTCGAGTTCATTTGTATTAGTTATTTGGATCCCATTGCACAAGCTAGTGGCTATCTGAACTTAGTAGCTAGGTGGGTAACTCGACAGCGTTTGGAGTGAATGGTACTGGGTTCAAGCCCAGTAGTAAACATCAACTCGAGGATGCAGGTACATCCATCTAACAAACCACAAGGAGGATGAAACATGTGCCATGGATTCCACTGCTAATATTTATTTTCGAGGGTTTTTAAAGTTATCTATTTGTTAAGCGATGATTTAGTGGATAAGGCGCTCAACGTTCAGTCACTAAATTCCAGGTTCACACTCTGCTTAAGCTACTTTGATAGTAGCATCATTAGCTTCCACATTTTTAGTGTGGATCATACCCGAATACCTGGTAGATAAGTTAATTTACGTATTGCATAGCTGTATTTACGTGATTAAAACATCCCGTCACTGGTTCGGACTCCACCCAACGTAATTTAATTTTGAATGACAGCTAGCATCACTAATGTTTAAACAAACAAGGGAAGCAGATAAACTCGTACTTAACAACTGTGTTATATCAGAATACGTACCTATGTGACTTTTTGTATTTGAATTGCAGTAAGCTCGTAATTGCGTTCTAAATCCCTTGTACGTCACTTATTTTCCGTCCTAATTTTAGCGAATGTAGTTTAGAATGTTTATTACTAGATAGCTTACGAAATAGATGAGTGTTCTACGTGTTTTGACAATTTTCAACCTTATCAATTTAGGTTTTATCGGATTCACCGTGAAAAGTTACATTATCATTAAAAGTGATTTTCCTTTTAAAGCTTCTCGATTACATTCAATTGTAGTCTTTAACATTAATATCATATTACTTATACTGAATTGATTAAATCCACTGTATAAGTTAGAGCGTGCCAGCTGAATAACAATTCGTATTGGTTTAGTGGTTAAACCATTCGGCTTACAGCTACTTGGCCACTAGCTCGAACCTTATGTCACCTATTTCAGTATACCACCGCGATAGTACTACTGGCTAACATACAACTAAAGTATGGTTCGAAGCCAAATGTATAAAACTTGTGTGTTTGTGAAATGTAGTTACATTGTGTGTTGTTTTGTGACTGTCTCCCATGTGTGCTCTACATGATATATGGATGTTTATTAACTTTAGTGTATCTACACGACTGTATTTGCATGCACGTCGATTGCTTTTATCTAGTTGGTACAATATATTGTTCTGATATTTTGAAAACACTGTTGAATTATATCATATTGTAATTTTTTTGTCGTTCAGTGATTCAGTTATTAAAGTCATTGTATAGAATTGAAGTAAGAAATTTAACATAACGGGAATCCCTATGGGTTCCCACTATTGTTATTATTATTCTTCACTGTAATATTGTTTATTTAAAAAAACAACCTTGTTTTACTGTTCTCACAGCTAAAGAATTATTGAGACGTAGGAAACATACACCTAGGTTATTGAAAAAATTGGAATGGTTATTGAAACGCATAAAATTTGTAGACAAACAGTAAGATTTCAGTTTAGATTTTTTATGATAAGAAATCTCTTGTTTGTTGTACTTCTAATTAAAAGTTTTTTTAAGTTTCAATCAGCCTTCTAACAAAAGGTATTGTATTTGTCGATTTTCACTGTACTGTATGTTATTTGTTTTTTTTGCGATAACAAGTATTTATTGATTGAAGTAATATGTGCATTCTAGTAAGCCAAAGTACATTACCATGGAAAATATTCTGTTAGATGATTAGAGTTAGTCAACTACGAACCTATCTTCCGTGCTAGTCAACACAAATCAGGTGATTGATACTTCATATATGATTCAAATTTGCTTCGATCAGTGTAGCAATCAAAGAGAATGCCACCAAATTACCTTGGAAGGAAGCATCTGTTCCTCTAATACTGAACATAGGTCTTGGTTATGGGTGTATACAAACATAAATACTATATTTTGAGGCTTCCTGTCGATCACCATTGAATAGTTAACATTAGACATAGTGTAGCGCTATATTGAATCAAATAAACTTGATCAAAAGTTGATCAGGAATGTGGATTAGACATAAGAAAACTTAGCTTTATAGAAAACTCTTTTCATGTGATTTCGTTTTGAAGTTCAAGTAAGCCTATTATCGGATATTGAATCTTTCTGTAAAATGTTAGTATTTAATGTTTCCAGTCAACATTTTAAACTCATGTCCATTAATTGAAAGATCATTGTTAATGAATCTGTTAATATAAAAATTTTGTTCACTTCTCTACCTTCCATCTGTTGTATTTGTTAATGTGTTATAATCTCTTTCTCACGGCTATAACCCAGCTATTCCTATTGCTTAGTATTCTTGGACACCAAATTACTCGACAAGACCCCAAATCAGAACACGGTTGAACAGGAAAGAGATTATATTCCAAATAATAAGGTTAGATGGAAGCAAGAAGCAAGTAAGAAGCACAATAGGGAAAACGTTAGTATATTTATAGTTTCTACATGAGAAGATTCTAGAGTATTCTCCAAGTATCGACTAGTACTGACTGGATAAGACTTAGCTAATTAGAGTGCACCAAAGCAATCGTGCATTGAGCATGCTTTAATCCAGTCTATGTCCCGCTAACATAATGCTTCATTTCTTTCGATTTATTTATAGAGTTTCAGTTGATAGTCGAAAAATTCCATAGTATTCTTTCTTGTGATTGTCAATCACTTGACTAGTAATGATGATTATAATTTATAGTACAGTAAATCCAGCACAAAATGCAACTAACAGTATTTAAACTGTAATTTACAAAAGTTTTAAAAAAGATTTTTGGTATCATCATCTACTCATGGTGTTAATTTAAGAGTTAATCAGTCAGTGAGTTCTAAGCAATATTGAACTTGGCATATACATGAATCAGTCTAAGATATTTCACAATATATGTGCACACAGTAAGATCAAATTATGAAGATGAACACTAAAGTAGCAGTATCAGTAGTATCATTGACATCAGTGTTAGTGATAAGAGAATAAATTTACGTGATAGCAAGTATGAAATATTTTTGAAATTCATAATCTAAGGATAAACAAAATATGAATAAATTTACTCCATTCCTTGATTTTGGATCATATTAAACAACGTCTTCAATCATTCGACCCAAATTATCGTTATTTTAATGTATGAATTATTTACCTAAAACATAATATTTTTATTTTATGTATTTGTGTTGTAAAAAGGTATCGCCGTTACGATCTCAATATTTTGGACCATTATAAAAATGCATTAAGTACCGCTTTAGAATTATCAATGAAGCATAATTTGCCACCAATATGTGGTTCAACATTAATTATATGTTCTACTAGTAAATATGTCAATCCTTCTAAACATAGATTATCAAAATCTTATGTAAGTAAATTTATTCCCATTAGATTAGTTATATATTCATTCTTTATTCACATCGATTGATCCTAATGTTTTGGATTCTGGATAAAATTTTATGTTTTTCGTTACTTCTTATTTTCATAATTGAAGTTTTTTTTATCAGTCTGCGTTTACATGAGTGCACTGTCAGTGGGTGCCTCAATGTTACCTATAGTTATAAGCCTTATTGTTATGACCTTGGATGGCTTTTACCCCGTGATACTTGTTATGACTTCACCTTGATCTGTTTAGACTAAACTGTGACCTTGACGCGCTAGGCTGAGTGGCTTAACCTTGAGTCTAATACGCGTGAGTTCGATCTGGGGTAGAGAGAACTATTCTAAATCCTGATTGGTTGGCAAGCACGCGAGTGAAAGAAGACAAGACAGTTGGAACACTAAACTCTGGATTCTCTGAATTCGGATTACTACAAAAATGTACATGAATAAATAAGTGCATATCTTGACCACGACGTACGATAATTTGGAAAAATACAGTTATGCCCGAAACAGGGAATTAGGGTAGAAAATATAGTGCAAAATATAATGTTTAAATTACAATATTTTTGGAACAAAAAAGGGTATGCTAGTGAATGATACATAGAACGAAAGCTCGTGTTATGTAGAATAAGATAGGGACAAAAATAAATATAAGTGTTTTACAGGTTTGAATGAAATGCAATAACGTCCCAAGAAAATAGCTTTCGTAATTGTCTGGGCTTCTTAATTCCCCGTTCATAACACCTTCCCCCTTTAAAAAAAAGAAAAAAAATGGTTAGTTACTATATACAGGTAAGTGCTGAGATATCATCATTGATATCTTCCTTCGGAAACGTATGTTCTCCTCTTTGGGTCTACCTGTAGAATATCTGGTCTTCTGCGTTTCCGTGATGCTTTCCTAATAGGACTTTGTTCAGGTTGCGTGGTCTTCTGAGTCGCTGAGCATTTTATGTCAAAACTGTCCAGAATGATTCTCCACATTGAGTCTAATTTCTCGGTTTTCTGTGAAGTGCCAGCATTTTCCAGTATGTGGTTGACATGGCGTGTCCACTTCTGTCCTTCAACTTCCACCACATACATTACGTTCCCTTGTCTCTTAAGTATGCGTCCACTGGTCCATTGTGGAGGTGAATATCGGAAATCGCGGACGTATACTTTTTGATTTTTTGGAAAATTCTGCGTTTCGCCCCATGATGGCGATCAAATTGGTTTTCCATCTTTCTGTTTCTTTTTCCGATGTCTATTTGCTGTGGTTTCATGGCATCGAGGGCAGTTCTTACTTTTCTACCAAACATAATTTCTGCTGGGGACATTTGATTTGGTGTTGATGGGTTTGGAGTTGTTCTATAGACCAAGAGAAAGTCATCAAGAATCTCCTCTATCTTTCCCTCCCCTTTTGCCTTCAGTAGCGCTCTTTTGAAGGTATCTACAAACCTTTCGGCCTGACCATTCGATTGTGGATGGTACGGAGGTGAACGGACATGTTTGACTCCAAACCTCTTGCAGAAATCTGAGAAGATGGAAGAAATAAACTGAGTGCCGTTATCTGTCACGAGAACATCTGGAACTCCAAAACGGGAGAATAACTGCCGTAGCTTCATGATAGTCTGTTGCGAAGTGATTTGATTTATAGGAAAAATCTCCGGCCATTTTGAATAAGCATCAACACAAACGAGGAAGTACGTACCCTGGAATGGGCCAGCAAAATCAACATGTATACGCGACCAAGGTTCTTCTGGAGATGGCCAGGAATGTAGTTCAGCTTTTCGTGGACACTTAGAAACCTCAGCACATTTTCTGCACGCACGCACGAAATCTTCGATGTGTTCATCGATATTAGGCCAATATACATAACTTCGAGCAATAGCTTTCATTCTTCCAGTACCTGGATGGGCTGTATGCAGTTGTTTCAGGACGAGTGAGCGTAAGTTATACGGAACCACTACGCGATCAGCAACCATAATACAGTCATTTACGATGGATAAAGATTGGCGTCGTTGATAATACTGTTTCAGTTCATGAGATGTTATACGTGGGGGCCAACCACGCTGGATAAATGTAGATAATCGTCTTAAGATAGGATCGCGGCGAGTGTGTTCAGCGATTCGAGCAGCTGTCACTGGAAGAATTTGTGTTGAATTAAACAACATTCTGCTTACATCTTCTTCCACTGATATAGAAGCGATAACAGTATCTTCGTTTTCAAGCTTATGATTGCTTATTAAGCGCGATAATGCATCAGCATGGCCAAAATCAGAGGTAGATTTGTATTTGATAACGAAATCATAACCCAATAGCATTGTAGCCCATCGTTGGAGGCGGTTTGCGGTATAAACTGGTATACCTTTCTTAGATCCGAAAATTGATAATAGGGGTTTATGATCAGTGATTAAGGTAAATTTTCTGCCATGCAGCATCTTGTGAAACTTTTTTACTGCGAAAATTAATGCCAATCCTTCTTTCTCAATTTGGCTGTACTTGCGTTCTGCTGAAGTCAATGTTCTGGAAGCATGTGCGATAGCCTTTTCTTTTCCATCTGGAAACTTATGGGATATGACGGCACCGATACCATAGTCAGAAGCATCTGCAGCAACAACGATTTCCAGCGAGGGATCAAAATATGTAAGAAGTAGATCCGACGTTAATAATGACTTTACTTCGTCAAAACATTTTTGACACTTAGTGGACCAATTCCATTTTACATTACTGGATAATAATTGGTTCATGGGTGCCCGGAGGCGATGCAATTGTGGCAAGAAATTACTGTAATAACTGATAAGACCAAGGAAGGAACGCAGAGTTGCTACATTAGATGGGGGAGGCATATTTTGGATAGCTCGTACATTTTCCGGATCCGGGCGTCGTCCATTTTTGTCGAAAACAAAACCAAGATATTTCACCGAGTTCATGAAGAATGTACACTTCTCTTCTTTTAGATAGAATCCACACTCAGATATTTTGGTTAAAACAGTATCGAGTCGATTGAATAACTCGGACTTACTGGAACCTGTAACGATTACATCATCCAAATAGACAGCGACTCCTGGCAAATTAGCCAACATAGTGTCCATTATTTGTTGAAAGATAGCTGGTGCTGGTTTCACACCAAAAGGTAAACGCTTATATTGGTAAAGACCTCTGTGGGTGTTAATCGTCAGTAATGGTTGGGAGGCTGGATCGACTTCTATCTGGAGATATGCGTCAGCAGGTCAATTTTAGCAAAATACTTTCCTCCATTTAGTTTGATGAATAAATCTTCCTGTATGGGAAGTGGATACGTGTGATCTTCTAGAGCATTATTCAGACCAGTGGAAAAGTCAGCACATATGCGAACAGTTCCATTTGCTTTTCTCACGACCACTATGGGGGCAGCCCACGATGAATAATTTACTGGCTCAATGACACCTAGTGCTTCTAACCTGTCCAATTCTTGGTCAACGACTGACAGAGCAGCATAAGGCACTGGTCGTTTCGGTCTGAAAATGGGCTTTGCATTTTCCTTTAGTGATAAGGATACTTTGGTGAATTTATAACAGCCCAGTTTGTTTTGAAATACACATGCATGTTTTTGTCGAAGATGATTTATGTAAGATACGGACGACAATTGAGAGGAAACAGAAGACTTTGATGTAGACATAACATTAGAACGAAGTACATGAGATTCCGAAGTTTCACTAGCGCATACTTTGTCTGAAGTATTCGATTTGGAAATTTTATGAGAAGGCAATGAATCGGCGGTATTTGATTTGACATGGTGAGAACACATAACATTTGAATTGTTTGATTCAGAAAGATCATAAGAACATGTTTCATCAGAAGCATTTAATTCGTTAATATCCAGAGAGGATGATTCGTCGGAGGCATTTGATTTAGAAATATCATTAGGGATTTGGATAGACTCATAGGAAACATTTTGAGAACATACCTCATCTAATAATTTATTCAAAGTATCAACATGTGCAATCCAATCTAATCCCAATAGATCTAAATCGTGTCGATTTGTTAGATAACAAACATCTGTAAATTTACTTCCCATAAGTTGAACATTGCATAGAACCTCTCCTGTCAACTTTACTATGTCTCCTGACGCATTTCGGGCGACATGTTCCGTCGGTCGGATGGATGGGCATCCTAACTTGTGCCATGTGTTCTTTGAAATCAACGTGACATCAGAAGCAGTGTCCAACTGAAGTCGTATAAGTTTTTCATTTACTAATAAATTTACAAATTTCCGCCTACTTTTAAATCCAACTTTAAAGGTTGCAAACGTGGTTTTAATTTGACTGTTTGATCGTTGCTTTGAATTTTCACTACGATGTTTAGTCTTGCGTTTATTTAACGAACAATGACCTTCTTTGTGGCCAATGCGATGACATTTGCGGCATTTATGATTCTTAAACGGACAGAATTTTGCAAAATGCCATGCTCCGCAGAACCAGCATGGTGATGGGGGTTGTTTCATAAATGCTGTTGTTGTTGTTACGATTGTTCTCAGTTTCCCTTCCTGTTCTCTTCAATTTGATCTTCTCAATCTTCTGCTTCCAGGCCTTCCACTTTTGATTGGTGTTATATGCTACTTATATCTGTCAATGTAAGTAGCACACACAACACTCGTCCTCCCTTTAAATGAAAGTCACTCTTTCTTTCGTTCTGCTCGCCGTGGCGCTTTTTTCTTTGCCTCAATTTGTACCACCTCCCGCCGAAATGTAGAGTCTGCCGGTGTACTGTTCTCTGTGGCTATGTCGACCTGCCGGGCTATCTAAATCCTATGTCCTTCAGCAGCCGGATGTGCCACATTTCTCCGTCGACAGCGACTACTACAGCCAACGCCGCCTCTCCAGAGTATTCCGCTTGAAGTCACCTTCCTACACCAGACCGCACCGACTAGGGACTCTACATCCAGCCCCGTAGTAGCGTCTGCAGGACTACACCCTCTCCTCCTCTCTTTTGGTAGCGACACCAAATGTAGTGAACGAAAACTTGGGTGAGGAAAACCAACTTATTGTTTAATGCGAAATTACACAATGGCTTGGTAAGATATGAAAATCATATATTAACTACATTATTTACACATTTTCACATTGTTCTTCACATACTCCATTATTCCTCTAATTCTGTTGTTATTTTGGTTTCTCTTCGGTTTTCTTTCTGTTCTCTTCACTTCGGTCTTCTGCTCTCAGGCATTTCACTTCCGATTGAGGCTACATACTACCTATATCTGTCAGCATAAGTCGCATATACCACATCATGATGTTTGTGATACATAGGCATCTCTTTAAATATCACCTCAATGTATATAGGTAATAGATAACATTGGTAATTTATTAGTGTGATGTATGCTACTTACATTGACAGATATAAGTAGCATATAACACCAATCAAAAGTGGAAGGCCTGGAAGCAGAAGATTGAGAAGATCAAATTGAAGAGAACAGGAAGGGAAACTGAGAACAATCGTAACAACAACAGAATTGAAAGAATCCTGAATCATGTAAGGGATAACTGAAGGAAGATGTGCAAGTAATGTATTTAATGTATGGTTATTGTATTTTATGAAAGCACTTTGTAATTTTTCATTAGACAATAAATTGGTTATTTCCACCAAGTCTTCGTTCACTACAATAGCTTGGAAACAGTGATTCCGTAGTGAAAAGCTGAACTGAAAACTACTGGATTTCAACTTTGATCTACTCCATTTATTTCAGTGTGAGTGACGGGATAGTATGCTTTGCCCTCATATGAAACGTATGACCCAATGCTTACCATATAAGTTTCTGTTAAGTTGTTAGCGGGATATAGATTAAATTAAATCATGTTCCTTGAATGATTGTGTTGGGGCATACAGATTGGTCGTTTATTAGTCAATCAGCTCTAGCGAATACTTGGAGAATACTCTGGAATCTTGTGTAAAATTATACATATACAACGTTTTTCTTATTGTCATTCCTACTTTAATCCAACCTGTTTTATTTAGAATACAATTACGTTCCTGTTCAGCTGTGTGCTTTTTTGTGGAATTGTCGAGTAGTGTCCCAAGCGATAAGAGTAGCTAGGCCGTAATAAGAGAGATCATAACACCAGTAATAACAAACTAATTTCGATCTTAAAAAATGTGTCTTTTACTAGTCATTATTTATTTTCTTAACAGATGAAAATTCTAGGTTTCCTTCTTGGCGCGATGTGTACGTCGATGTGTGAAACACCTACAACCTACGTTACAGTTGATGATCAATACAATTTAACCCCAATTGAAGTTGTATTCAGAAAAAAACAGACTTTAGATGATGATGGTAAAAATCCACATTTATACGACTCGAAACATAACGAATTTCTATATAAACATAAAAATATGGGCATTCTAGAAAGAACAAAGCAAATGTATGAAACACGTGGTGTAAGTTTCAAATTTTGTGCTTCGATGTTATTTCCCAAATGTGTGTGTTGAAATAAATTTCGTTGTTTGTTTTTGGTTAAGAAAAAAGTGAGCTCACAAACGGTTTATATTATATGAGTCGTTTCGATCACTTAGTTGCTTTCGCAGTTACTTTTATCAGTTTTCAGCAAGTTTACTTAGATGTTATATTGGGACTGTTTTATTTACAGTGAAACTACAGAGTGATTCGAGTAAACGACTCAGTAAGCATAACCACCAGGAATGCCGATTCACACCTAATGTATTATTCCTAATTCTCCTCCTCCGAGCTCAAAATTACGGCGAAGATAAATAAGAGCCAAGAATATATTTACTTCTGTTATCGATTATAATGTAGTTGGGGAATAAGTAGGTATTCATAAATTTTCATTGTGATCACGAACCAACATAAGTTAGATAATCACTGAAAAATAGGGAGTACTAGACTGTTGTTTCGTCCTGGCGTGGGACTCTTCAGTAATGCGCATATTAATTCGATATGATCTTGATAGTCAATTGTTTTTTCAAAGTGATTTCATGGTTTGGGATTTTACCTTCTGCATACAGTTTAATAAGATTCAAAATATGTATATGTAGAAAAGTATGTTACTTTGTTGTTAGCCTGTTTTCTTTTCTTTTCCTACAAAAAAGATGTTAGTACAATGAGTTTTAAAATTATCTTCTTTTTTGTTTACCAGTCACTTATATCTGCTCCAGTTACGACAGTTTTTCAGAAACTCTGTGCTTATCGGAAACAGGTACGTACACCTATTTAATGAAGAATACTTTTTAAAATATTTCATTTGATATCTGACTGAAATATAAAGTGGAATTATTTTCATTCTTAAATTACAAGGCAGAATGTAAATATATATCTTTTTTTCCTCTTAACAGAGATACATTATGCAAGAGGAGATTATCTAACAGTTATCAGTATAAATTTTAGATGATTGAGTGTAATAGTTAACTTATACGTATTTATTTCTTCAATCAATTTGTTCTTATTAAAAAGAAAGAATAGTTGAAATCATGAGTCAATTGAAGCTAGAACAACATATAAAACCTGGAAGCACTGGACGGTAGTTTCGTCCTAGTATAGGACTCCTCAGCAGTGCGCATCCACGATCCCGCTCCTCGCGAGATTCGAACCCAGCACCTATCAGTCTCGTGCGCGAGCGCTTAATTAATAGACCACTGAGCCGGCACCCAACGGTGTTAGTGTCTAACTTCAACTAATCCACGAAATTGAGCGACACATCCACCATTGTCATCTGTGAGTTACTATCTCACAACTGACCCGGTTGAACTCCACTGGTCACTGCTTCTTACTGGAACTCCGGGATATACCTCTTGAAGCCAGTCACTAGTGAACATATGTTAATTAATATCAGAAGGGGTTTTGTGGAGATTGTAGTAACTCACTGATGACAATGGTGGATGTGTCACTCGATTTCGTGGATTAGTTGAAGTTAGACATTAACACCGTTGGGTGCCGGCTCAGTGGTTTAGTTGGTTAAGCGCCCGGCGCGAGACTGATGTGTCCTGGTTCGAATCCCGCGAGGCGGGGTCGTGGATGTGCACTGCTGAGGAGTCCCACCATAGGACGAAACTGCCGACCAGTGCTTCCATGGTTGTCTAGCTTCAATTGACTCATGATCTCAACTGTTGAAATTACTACAATCTCCACAAACTCTTTTCTGATAATAATAATAATAATATTGTTGTGTGGATATAATATGTAATAAGGGTGGGGGTTATCAAGGTAATTATGATAAACGAATTGGGAATGATGGATGTGAAGATTAGGATAGAGGTAATAAAAAGAAGGAAGGGGTTTATAATATTCAGTTTAGGTATCAGGTGGTCCAGTTGTAGGTCAAGGTAAACATAGAGGCTGGATATACCTTTTCTGGATACATAATTTTGGTTTTCTGGAGTCGATCCAGATGGCTTCAGCTGTTTAGAGTAATCGTAGTTTAGCTCCTTGAGGTAGATATTTTGGAAATTGATATCAAACAGAGAAAGCTTCCTCTCTTTTAATACATGCTTTATTTTGGCTTTTGTAAAATATCATAATTATGGAGAGCCTGATGAAGTTATTGAAGAAAATTGTTCGCTCAAATATTCTTTACTTTTGAATATTCTATGAAGATTTTTATTCTAATTAGTTGAATGTTCAACCCTAAATTTTTGAAGCTATGCATTTAAATCTCTATTCAGCATTATTTCTTTATCAATTTAAATCAGTTGTTCTCATTCTACACTACCATAGATTTGTTACTTTTACGTGTTTTGTTCACATTGTTACAGCTTTGTTCTGTTTAGTGTTCTCCAATGTCATTGATTATGTGCTTATACAATTATGACGTAACATGATGATAATATTGTTATAAAAGTGACATGTCACTCATAAGTTTATCAAATTGAATCGAATCATAAGAGATTACGTGTTGTTCACATGTGGTGTATGCTACTTATGTCTGTTGACTTAAGTTTTTTTTAACACCAATCAGAAGTGGAATGCATGGCAGCAGAAAGCTAAGAAGATCGAATTGAAGAAAACTGTAAGGGGAATGAAAAGTAATTGTGAATCGGAAGTATGATACATAATTTAAAGGAAAATTGATGAAATATTTGCAATTGAAGTCTTTTATGTATGGTTCTCATATTTTACGAAGATATTGTTTAATTTTATGGTATACGGTAAATTGGTTGTCCCCACCTGAGTTCTCGATCACTACACATAGTGATCAGTGTTTAGGAAATATCAAATATTACTTTGAGAATTATCCAATCGATTGTTCGTGACCCCATTGGATTCCTTAGGTTTTCAATACATTCATCGGTTAATCATCTCCAAGTCAGTGGTTCACTAAATGATTTGTTTATTCTGAGGTTTTTATTTCATACTTTTCAATCGATCTCCAGCACATGTGATTTGTGCAATGTTTTACCTTGTTCATTATTTGAACTATAGATTAGATGGAGATGTCAATTTACCAGGTTTTACCGTTGTAAACGAACCTTCGTTATAGTTTCTATCTATTTTCAATTGATTATTCTTCATCAATTTTTATTTGTATGCGTCCGTTGATTATCATGCATTTAACATACAATTATCAGAATGGGTTTTGTGGAAAGTTTGAGAAATTTCACAGGTTGAAATCATGAGTCAGTTGAAGCTAGACCACCATTGAAAACCTGGAAGCACTGGACGGCCGTTTCGTCCTGGTATGGGACTCCTCAGCAGTGCGCATCCACGATCCCGCACCACGCGGGGCTCGAACCCAGGACCTACTGGCTTCGCGCGCGAGCACTTAACCACTGACTCATGATTTCAACCTGTGAAATTTCTAAAACTCTCCACAAAACCCATTCTGATAATAATCAACTGCTCACTAGTGACTGACTTCAAGAAAAACTCCTGGAGTTCTAGTGAGAAGCCGTTACCAGTGGAGTTCAACCGGTCTGTTGTGAGATAAAAACTCACTGAAGACAATGCTGTACGGTGGCGCAACTTCGTGGATTGGTTGAAGTTAGACATTAACACCGTTGGATGCCGGCTCAGTGGTCTAGTGGTTTAGTGCTCGCGCGCGAAGCCAGTAGGTCCTGGGTTCGAGCCCCGCGTGGTGCGGGGTCGTGGATGCGCACTGCTGAGGAGTCCCATACCAGGACGAAACGGCCGTCCAGTGCTTCCAGGTTTTCAATGGTAGTCTAGCTTCAACTGACTCATGATTTCAACCTGTGAAATAACATACAATTATTTGAAGATTTTATTTGCATACCTTGATTTTTCGTTAGATTTATACTCCTTTCCAATAATCGGTATCATGTTTACCTACATGTTATATGTTGGTTAATGGTTTGCGGATTTTTTGTTTCAGTTTGATAAAATTGTTATCTTTGGTGATTGTCATAAGGAAATTGTTGATTATGTTATAAATTATCGGACATACATTGGACCATTGAAAGCAATCTGGGGAAATTTGAGTGGTGAAGATATATGGTAAGTGTTCATTAATTGGTATTTGATTTACGTAGTTAGTTATTGTAATTTCATGAGATAAGTATTTTTATCATTGACCTTTAAAACACGTGTACAATTGTGAATAACCTTGTTTAACAGTGAATTCCTTCATTATTTATTCATTTCATTCCCATAAAACATGGTACAACTGGGTATAAAGAGTAGCATACACCATAGAATTCATAATTTTTATGTGTAAGCTGGGACACTTCTCAGGCCCCAAACTGAAACTGGTGGTTTTCTTAGTGCTATGTTTGAAGAAGTTACGAGATCACCTAAATCGGCAAACGGAACGAAGGTTCAGCGTCACATCGGCAAGATAAGCTAACTATTCCGATGCGTTCCAGACTAACTAACTAGAGGTAAAAGTCCAGGTTCAGATGAGGGAAAGTATATTCCACAGCTGAAGCGTATATTAACAACATAAAAATGTCTTTGGGAAACGTCCCAAAATAACATACTAAAAGAGACAACGAACCAATGACATTTAGGATCCTTGCAAATGGGAAAAATAATCTTAAGGTAAAAATGAGCGCTTCTGGCGCGAAAACAAGAAATTCGAATTTCTAAAATTACAAAATTACAAAATCTTGACGTTTACCAAGCGAGTTTTGGGGACCTAGCAGGTTGTCGAGCTTTTGACCCGAAGATTTAACCTGAAAGGTAATGGCGTGACATCAAGCGTTAATGTTCCGTGGTATCTGAGGATCATGATAAGTTAGTATATGATTCGTCCCCTCATAGTCATAGGCCCCATGTAACCTATTTGTTTGGAATCAGGGTTTGTTAACTTCTCTAGATGAATCCTATGTATCCAGCCTAGTACTTCAAGCTCAGACGTTTTATTTTTTACCTCACTTTGGCGAGGAACATCCCTTACACATGTAGGCAGTGAGTGGGACATTTGTGTCAGATACTATAAATGTGTGACCATATGGAGAAATGATCTTCAGAGGGGGAGTGGGATCTCTCCACCGTCAAATTTATCAGGGCATTTGGATGCTATCACCAAGAATTAAAATAGGTCGAAATGTACAAATGTAGTGGAGGTAAACTGAATATGAATAGTAATATGCTTAAAATAAACTGAAATGATAATGTATGAAAACATTTAAATCATTGTCATAGATTTTCAATCCTCTTTACCTAGGATATTTAACAAGTGGTTTTACTTATCAAGTCCTGATTCACAGCACCTTCTTGCCCATGTCCTCATTCCCAATTTTTCTTCTGTTTATCAGCATCCTGTTTTTTATTTTAGTCAGTATCTCAGTACAGACAAAACGTCTCACTCATATGAGGTAATGTTGGTTCACATCCTCATCAAGAATCTGTTTTCTCTTCGCGTCTAGTTTTACTGTTACGTTGTTATATTGGTTCTACTGATTGCGAACAATGTCTGAAGGAGTCCTCTTATCTAATAGCTATAAAGTTTTAATATCCTTTAGTTATGGTGATCATTTTTGTTGTGGTTGAGGGCATATTGAACCGTTGTTTAATAAGCTTGACTTTAGCTAGTCATCCGATTTTTGACACTCCTAATTTGGTGAAATGTTCTTGTCTCAAACTTTAATAACAACAAATACACCTGAAACTGTCTAGCTTTCCATTATTGTAACAAAATCTAATGCATTTTTAACTGCTAAAATGAATTTTCCAGGATGTTTAGATTGTGCAGAATACCATCACATATAAATAACGGGCTAATTTGATCCATCCATAAACAAATATGTGTCCGAAGTACCTAATGTTTACACATATCTCAAACGTTTCACTGTTGATAATTATTTGATTACTGAAAACATCTTATCTACTTACTTAGTCCTGTTACCCCTCGTAGAGCATAGGCTACCGATCAGGATTCTCCAACCCACTGTTGCGGGCTCTCCTTTTCAGTTGTTTCCAAGTGTTAATCATAACTTCGATGTTTGCCTCCAATTTCTGGTACAGGGTTTCTTATTATTTTGCCTTAAGGATTTTAAGTTAGGGGTTGCTTTGTAATGCAATTTCATGATTTCAGCAATGAAGCCATACGGTGGCCGTTAAAGGGAACTCAGCTGGGACTCACTTATTTAACCCAACTTAAATAATAACAATACGTTATCCTAAACGTTCAACACTCCAACGGTCTATTGGCGAATTCAATTAATACTTATTCTTCTACAGTATTGGTTTTATTTTCGTTGAATGTCACTGTCTTAGATACTACTCATGGTTTTATTCAACAAATAGTGTACATGGACTGCTATCTAGACGATAAGTTTTGTCAAATGAGCGCTCCATTCGACTTTCTGACCGCTTGTAATAACCTTAGACTAAAGCTACACGGCAACTTGAACACAAGAAAGAGGGTGCGAAGACTTGTGATAAACATTTATTTGAATCCTAGAATAAATCAAAATGATCTGGGAATACACCACCTTTTATAAGATTTATTTATAGTTAGATTAACAAAATTTGTATGAATTAAACTGAGTTATATTTAACAATAATAATTTGATAGCTTACTGTGCGAACATATATTTGCAATGTTATACAATTAAGGATCTACGATCCTTCCTAAGATATTAAATACGATTGGAAAAAATTCAGTTCCATATGTCTTTCTCATTTCAATTAACAGTGGAAACCAGGACACGCGTTTGTCTAATCTGGGACTCGTCAGCTGGATGTACCTGCATCCCAGAGTTAATGTTCACTCTGGAACTCGAACCATGTACCATTCACTTCAAACGTCATCCCGTTATCCACTTAGCTATCAGGGCTCAGTAGCTGAATGCAATAGTCCTAAATAGGATGAAACACGTGTTGTACATTCCACTGCTAGCCACTATCCATATTTGCCCATAATGCTTGTAATTTAAAGCAATATTCAGACAATCCGCACAGATGAACCTATACCAATAAGAGATTGATCAATTACTGTCCTAAACATCAATGGGAAGATACAACACAAACAATACAAAATAAGCTATTACTCTCTGTATCATTAGGTTTTATGACTAAAGGGATTAAACAAACTGAATGTATTGAGTACAATACGAGGTCAATTTAATATAGTCTAAAATTTCATGAACTTATTTATATTTACGACAAAGTTGTCTCTTTCACTTACTATAATAACACTAGTGTGAATAAATGATATGAATGAGTTTGTAATTTTTGTCTTGTTTTTATTTATTTATTTTTAAAAAGGCCAAAATCATGTAGTAAAGATGGTTGGATTGAATTCAAAGGGTGTACAGATCAAATTCTACGTTATATTGCTGAACCAAATGAAGATAAATTACTTGAACGTATTGAGAAAATGGATGAAATCTATGGATTAAATAAGAATATTTCACATCACTTTAATTTAAAAACAAAAATACAAGAAGATCATGATAATAGTATATTATCGAAACGTGATTACTTTAGATCAGGGTAAGTATTTTTGGCTTTTAAAATAATTTGATCTAAAGTTTATATGATCGTTTGGAGATAGATAATTTTTTCATGACACAGAATCATTTGAGTAATACAACAGCAAGCTTTTTTTTGTCGATATTCTAAATTTTTCATGATGTGAACCTATAGAACTTTACAACGATCTTTTAATTGCTTCATCAAAAGTAAATTCACGTGGACTGTTTGAAAGAATCAAGTTACTATAGTGCTCATGTTCTATTGTTCTAAGTATTTTGAATTTTGTAGCGTGATTCAGTCTCCTGAGATCAATACGGAACAGGTCCTTATATTTGTTAAAATATGAGTCAAAAGTAATGTGAGCTAGACTATCAAACTAAAAATTCATAAATGTCATTAATGACAGAATTAGTATTTGTTATTTGCTCCTCATTAGATGTGGGGTTTTTCTAGGGTATACATGTCTGCATGAGAGCTTCCATGATTTTTATTTGAGACTATTCAAGTCGTTTCTCCTAGAGCTCCAAGTAAGTTTCTAATTGTTCAAAGGTAGTGTTCAGTGTGAGTTTCTCATTGTCAATTATTAATTCTTGCTACCGATACATTTAAACTGCTTTCCTACCAGGTTCTGATATCCCCAACTGCTTCTGCACGTCAATTGGAAAACTAGAAAGAATACGCAAAATGCGAATAATGCTTTACTCCAAGATTGACTTATATTCAGAAAAATGGGTATTCATAGTATTACACTTCATCTCGTGCTTCTGGAAATTTCTGGGACCATATTAAGTATAGTAGCAGTACAAGTAAATATCCAAATCAAAACTATGACTCTTGATTCTGTATTTTCTAGATGTTTATAAGAAGATTCTATCAAAAGCTCGTTGAATATAATTTTTTTGACATCTCTGGGCCTTCAGGACTTGACGAGAGATATTTTTGGGACTCCTTCAACATATGACAATTTAGACTACATCAATCTTATTCCGATATCTAACGAATCAATATGAGTATTTCGAAAAAATCATAATTCTACCTAAACAAATTGTTTTTTAGACACATATCTTTTCGTTAAACGGTACAAGGGTATCCTATCTAATAATGAGTTACTGATCTTCTTATCTTTGCAATTGAGCTGTGTATGTAATACTTAGAAGTATTTGTTTCATTCGGCTTTGTAAAAACCTCTCTTGATCTATTTGAACTGTTGACGATTTCTTTTGACAACCTTTATTATGTTTACCTCGGTGTAAACTTAGTTTTGGAGTTGCATTAATGCATTACCTACTGTCGAATGTAATACTTTTCCAAAAAAGTACACTTATATTGTTTGCTGTCTCTCTGTCTTCAAGAATTCATCAATGTATCTCATTTTTCTATTGTTATCATTTAGATGGAAATGTTGTCAGTTGTTTATTTCATCTACATTTCGTGATATGCACGCTGAACGTGATCTATTATGTGGTATACTTGTACCTGCTTTACGTAGAATGTTGCATTAGGTTTACGTGTACATTTAAATGAAATCGATTTACGTTGGGGTGTTCCTGAACCAGCTACATACAATGCACAAGCACTACAGATATGTTTAGAACAAGCGGCTGCTAGTGATATTTTTGTTCTGTTATTGGGCGATCGGTAATACTGTTGTGTTCTTTTTTGTCATTTTTTCCGTATAACTATTGAATAATTCATTTTTTGTATTTGTTATTTGAATCTTCCCATTCATGTTTAGGACTGTGAATGATCAGTCTCTTATTGGCATATGTGCATTCTGTGCGGATTGCCTCGACATTACCTAAGTGGATAACGCGTTGGCTTTTGAGCGAGTGGTACTGGGTTCGAGTCTCAGAGTGAACTTCAACTCTGGGATGCAGGTATATCTGGATGAAGAGTCCTAAATAAGACGAAACGCATGTTGTGCATTCCACTGCTAGCCACCGTCCATATTTGTTTATAACCAATCAATATTTTATTGCAATTAGAAAATGATCTAAGTTTGACAACTACTGAAAACTTGAGAGCGCTACAAGGTCATTCCATTCTAGCATGAGACTTTCCAGTAGTGGGCAACCACGACCCCCAACTGAAAACCGAACTCAGGGCCATCGGTCTCACTCAAAAACGCTTGACACATCTAAACTACTGGTCCAGCATCAAATAGTTTACTAAATATTTGTGAAGTATTCATTGATCTTTTCTAACGAATGTTGATTAAAACGAATACGTTTGTCAACTCTTTATATATTGAAGCCTATGGTTTTATAGTTTAACAATATTAGTGATATATGATTGATTGGTTATTAGATTCGATACCGAAATATCATGAAACATATTCACAGTCATTTCTGTCAAATATGTTTTCGTAACTCGTCACTGTAGTTGATGCCTCAGAAATCGTTCTATGTGATAACTAAAGAAGAGTAACTCATGTAGTTGCCTTCAGTGTTGTTTACCAGAATGAGTTATATTTGCTTTGCAATGGTGGTATATATATTTGACAACCCACTTAACAGTTTATATTAGATATTATTTATAGATGTCAGGATATATTAGTTCATTGCTAACAAGTTGTATTGGTGATTATATTTTGATCATCCTTTTAGAAAGTTATGGGAATTTTGAGAGATTAGTTGAATAGAATATTTCGAATGCCATTCAGAGATGTACTCTGTTGTCTTGACTAGATTTTAACTCTACATGAACTCATACTTTTCTTCATTTTATTTTCCAGTTATGGTTGTATACCAGACGAAGCTGAAGTTATGTTATTACCTGAATCATTATTATCTGAAGTGTGTAAATTTTATAAACCTGGAATGTCTATGACTGAAATGGAGTATCATATGGCTAGACAAGCTGCCATATCTAAAGTCCCTATTCATGAAAGACGACAGCAAAATACAATAAGTTTTCATGAGGCAATACGTCTTCGAATTTGTGTTTTCATTAGAGATTCAGCATCTATAGAGTAAGTTCTAGTCAAATGGAAGAGAGTTTTACATGTCGTTTTGACTAATTCGCATATGTTGATGTCGATGATGTGTTTTTTCCTTAAAAAATATAGGTTCGTTATTTTGTATTCCACACAAGTTTCATACTTTAACATCAGATAACTGTCGGATACAGTACATGAACGAAGACCATATATTTCAACATTTAGTTGGTTATGAAGTCCGTTTTTTTCCATATCAGAAAAATGAAGTAATTGCCGATAAGATCATGATGAATCTATTTAAGAATGTATTTTAAATATAACATATAAAATATACAATCCAATATTCTTGTTGGTTAAATGTTTATTACGTTGTCGCATTGATAATTTACCGATCTTCATGATATGATAGGAAGAAAAGTCAAAATTAGATTGATTCCCTCATTATGATTCTTGGTTCAACATTATTTCCGTTTTAATTCAATGTGCTGATTATTCAGTATAGTATTCGGTTTTGTTTTCCCGTATGACCTTTTTATTCTGTATAACATACGATATTCTTGTATTCAATTGACATAAACTATACTCAGCATATAATTTGTTATAACAGTAAGTATTTTTCATGTGATTTCATCCTAATTATTAATCAAAATGGGTGTACAACCAACATATAGATGAGCGTATTTTCGATTAGACTTGTCATGGTTGTTCGTGGTTCTGGCTGCTTGTGAAACACATTTCCATCTTCGAACGTAGACTTCTGTCTCTAGTTAGCGGGGCTGTGTCGCTTATTGGTCATTTTGTCACAGGTCTTCGTTCCGTTTTCACATTAGGTGAATTCGTAATTTCTTCAAATATAGAACTTGAAGAGCATTTGACATATCTGGTCAATTTCACCTGTATATTCCTGAACCTACTGATATTTCAAAGATAATTATGTAGAAACATTGTTTTAAACTGATACATTTATGAATTTCTATTTTTAGAAATGTACCAGATGAATTGAAAGATTGTTTTGAAGAGTATGATGTTGAAAAACGTCATCGTCTTAACGCCTTCAAAGAATTAATTCGTAATGACGGTGTTATTGTTAGTCATAAGTAAGTCAATCTATTGCATTCACTAATGTGTTTAAGTAGGTGGCTTATTAGATTAAGTGCTTTGTTTTCAACTTACTGATCGCAGTTTAAACTCTACTTAATCCAGTTTAGACTCCCTTTTTTATAGCTCTTGTACTAAATGTTTACCTGAAAGCTTAGTACATAAGAAATTACGATAAACTGGTATTACATCTTTGCCTATCAATTCACTCTCATAATTACTATCGCTCATTCTGTAATTCTATTAACAGGTATTTGCAATTTACCAGTCTTTTATTTTTAAAAATTATGTTTTACACATAAATCAATCTAGATTGTATTTCTGTGAAAGGAATAACAACAAAAAAAACGTGAATTAGGTATCAATGCCAAGGTAGGACTTGATGGTTTCAAATAAATTGAGCATTGGTTGGACAGTTAATACTAAATAAATTTTATTTTGTTATATTACAATAAGTAGAAAAATTGTATTTCTGACGTTTCGTAACTTAACGTAAGCCGATTCTTCAGAGTAAATGAATGATCGAAATTAAATTAACACAAGTTTAAATAGTACAAAGGAAACAACCGTGACAACTATGAATTTATGAACACAGATTTCTTATCCATTGCCATTAGTTAGTTAAAGAAAATTTATATTACTCGTGTATCTTGTAGTGTTCGAATCCGCACCATCCAATGACACCGAAATGTTATCCACTGAGCTACAATTAACTACCTGTGTGAGTGAGATATCTGTATTAGTTTATTATTAAGTCATAACCACTGTCATGTTATTTAGTCCTTAGTACCGAACATAATCTTTTGTTCAAGCTACAATTTAGTTAATTCGAAGAGAATTTTTATTTAGTAATCCTTTATTTTAAACATTCATTGTTTAACTATAGTAGACCGACTTGAATGATTTGTTTTTCTCCGTTTAACTTATTTTCATTATCTTTATATTTTTTATTACTGAGAATTACTTGTTATTTGTGTGTATTTCACGATTTAGTTATTCAGCTCAATTCAATGGTTTAATAAATAATTATCCAATAATGGGAAATTTAGATGAATTCGGAAGTCAATTTTTTGCAACAGTTAAATCTTTACTTCTACGTCTATTTCATAATGATAGTGATAGTACTCCAGTAAGTTTCTGTTTTATTATAATCGATAAAACTGATTGTAAGATTCTGTTATTATTATTATTATGTAATGGTATCAATTATACACATAAGCATGTTATCCCATCGACCAGATTTGCATGTGGTAATGGTGTTTATTGTGTATTGATGCATTAATACAACTGAATAATGAGATCGAAGTTCATTTACTCAAAATTAATTTTAAGACTGAAAATTCGAAGGAATGGCAAATTTATCTGCTCTTTGATGACCGATTTTGAACCATATATCATCTATGGTTTGTAACTCTTGGGGATGCTAGATCCCTGGAATTCACTTGGTAAACGTCAAGATTTTGTAATTTTCGAAAATCGAATTTCTCATTTTCGCGCCAGAAGCGCTCATTCTTACCTTCAGATTATTTTTCCCATTTGCAAGGATCCTGATTCCAAACAAATAGTTTACACGAGTCCCATGATTATGAGGGAACGAATAATATACTAACTTATCATGATCCTCAGATACCACGGAACATTAACGCTTGATGTCGCGCCATTACCTTTCAGGTTAAATCTTTGGGTCAAAAGCTCGACAACCTGCTAGATCCCCAGAACTCGCTTGATAAACGTCAAGATTCTGTAATTTTGTAATTTTGGAAATTCGAATTTCTTGTTTTCACGCCAGAAGCGCTCATTCTTGCCTTCAGATTATTTCTCCCATTTGCAAGGATCCTAAATGTTACTGGTTCGTTGTCTTGGGACGTTATTTTGGGACGTTTCCCAAAGACATTTTTATGCTGTATATATACGTTTGAGTTGTGGAATATACTTTCCCTCATCTGAACCTGGACTTTTACCTCTAGTTAGTTAGTTTGGAACGCATCGGAATAGTTAGCTTATCTTGCCAATGTGTCGCTGAGCCTTCGTTCCGTTCGCCGATTTAGGTGATCTCGTAATCTCTCCAAACTTAGCACTTACCATAGATTGAAATTATTTTATGAACATCAAACTGAACGCTTCCATCTGATGACACGACCGGTTTCAACAGTGATTAACTTGATATATATATATATATATATATATATATATATATATATATATATATATATATATATATTCACTTACTGTCAAATTAATAATCCATTTAAATACCCTCACTTTGTTCATATGGACTCAAACTAGCGGGAAGCAAACGGATTTTTGTTGATATCAAACTTTCCAAGTCCTATCTATATTTATATGATTTTGTACCTTTCAATATTTTTTAAATCACATGGTATATTAGTTAAATTTGGCTCTTATTTCTCAATATGCATTTTTTATTTCTCATTTTATTATATATTTTTTTCAGGTATATAATAGTGATAATAATTTTCCTATAACTGTTAACAAGTCATTGAATACTATTGAATTCTTACGAGAATATGTTTATTCAGCTGCGTGTGCAATTGGACCACGTCATCTACTGGAAGTAGAACAAGCTTTTAATGCATTAACTGAACGTGGTCATCGAGTTCATTTAGCTCGTGCAATTCAATCAACTGAAAAGAAATTAAGTGTACAAAACAATTCAAACTATTCAACAAACCTTCAAGGTAATAATTTTTTTTCTAAAAAAGAAACCCATCAGACGAAATGATTTTGAATTTGATTATTTGGTACTTAAAATCTGACTGGTCAATTTAAAGTGATTTTTTTCGAGGTTGATGAAGGGCTTAAGGATACTTAAAGTTTTCGATAATAGCCACCTAAATACTTTGGTACGGACGAGAGTGGGGAGAGTCAACCCCCTCTCTCGAAGTGATCTCACACGGCGACGCGTATACAGTCTGTGCTAGGGAAGTCCTACTCACTGACTTACCATGGTGGGGGTGTTGCTTATGAAATTGAAAAGATGAAAAGCAAGTGTCCGGTGTTTTAACTGGTTTGGTGAATATGGAAAACCCTGATTTCAAACCAGTGTTGCAGATGAGCTTCAGTATTCTGAAGGAAGAACTGGACCTATTATTGGTCCCTCGCTACCATAGGACTGCATCTCCTAAAGTTGCTTTGTGAAGTAGACCTTCAGGTGAAAGCCTTGGGGAGCTTTCTATTACGAAAACCACGTGTTTCATTTTGGATACCCGAACAGTATCCCAGGCCTCACACAAATCGAATGATTTGTGTGTCACATATATATTTGGTGCCTCCTTGTATCAATATTTATGTGTTTAAATAAATAAGTGAACACCTGTCGATAAGACGATGTTCACTAGCCTGTTTCCTAGCATTTAACTCCCTAAGGGTGCTCATCCACAGTCCCGCTCACAGGATTCGAACCCAGGACCTTCGGTCTCGCGCGCGAACCCTTATCCTCTAGACCACCAAGCCAACATCCATCGGCATTCATGTTTAAATTCAACTGATCCACGAAATTGCGCCATCGTCCACCATTGTCTTCAGTGAGTTACCATCACACAACAGACTCGGTTGTACTCCTGGTCACGTCTTCTCACTAGGACTCCAGGAAGTACCTGTTGAAGTCAGTCACTAGTTTGCACATGATGATTGTTATCAGAAAGGGATGGTCTAACTTTAATCGACTCATGGATTCAACAATGAAATTACTACAATTTCCACAAAACCCCCTTTCTGATAATTCAAAGATCACCTAATATATAAGAATTTATGCAAGGCGTGCATGTAATTTTGGTGTTGCTTACTATAATGGATAAATGTTGAAGTATTTTCTTTTTTTTAAAACTATGTTTTCGAAAATTAGTTTGTGTTGAATGGCTTCTGGACAGACCAATTTATTTATTCTTCGCTTACTAATCCTGACTGTTTTTATATCGTTTATGTGTTAATTGTTTTCACTACTCATTACGTGTATGTAAATTATTTTTGGTCTGAGTCACGCTTAATTAAATCGAGTTGGCTTACTCGCCTTCTCCACTGCGTGTCATTTCTTTTCGTTTCCGTGATTGTTTGTTTAGATCAACCAGTGTACGAAATATACGTACACAAACTTCATTCTCGTATTTGATCTATTCTTAATCCGTTATTCACTAACGCTATTTAAGTCGATAATTATATATGACGGTGGGCGGCAATCATCATTATACGATATAATTGGAGTCAGATACAATGCTACCAAAAGACGTCTGTTTAATATAGGTTACTTAGTATTACTCTATCAGCACTCAGATTTAAGACGTTCAAGTTTCCTAACAATTAAATAACTTTCAAACTACACACTGAGCTATAAACCTAATAATAGTGTACATTTTCAATCCACCATATTCTAACACAATAGTTGTTTACTATCAATGATTTCCACTATCAATATTGAATCACTTTGAATGCAAGAATACCGGGTTAAATGAATGACCATTTCATTCAACAGAACTTTATTGTTTTAAGCCAAAATTCACACGATTTCAATCCATTTTCTTTTTCGTTTTTTTTGTTTTTGAAAAAAATATCATTTGCTTCAAGGTTGTGATGGTGGTATCCTTTTAATTGTTGGACCGAATGGTAGTGGAAAAACTACCTATTTGTCAGCTTTAACAATATCACTGATAGAATCCGATTGGTATAGATCATTTTCAACGAATAACACAGTACAAAAAAGTTTAATTCTAAATTACATTCAAGTGAACAATTAATGAATTCAATGGAAAATTCTGAATTTATTTCAAAACAACGTCCAATATTTGCTAAACATCAGATATTTATACATTTCTGTAATGGTTTATCAATATCTGGTTTACCGTCGAATAGAAAATTGAATGAAATACTTCAAAATTGGTTAAATCTATTAACTATTCAACTTGATAATATCTGTAATAGTAATGATATTCTCAGAAAATTATTTAATGAAATGAAATCATCTTTTAGTGTGAATAAAATCTCTTCTAATATAATTTAAAGTAAGTAGTATAATTCAATCATGATTTTGATTATTTCATTTTCTGAATTCTCTCTCAGCAATGCTCATCCACTATCCCTCATTCAGGTTCGAATCAGGACCTTTTGTCTCGCACGAACCCTTAACCTCTAGACCACTGAGCCTGGATCCTGCAGTTTTAGTGTCTAGATTCAATCAATCTACAATACTGAGCGACCATCCTCCATTGTCTTCGTTAGTAACCACCTTACACCTGACACAAAGGAACAATTATCATATGCTAACTAGTGACGAGCTTCCTGAGGCAATTCTCGGAGTTCTAGTACTGGGTTGGAGTCGTGCGTGAGGGATCGTGGATTTGCTCTACTGGACAGTCCCATAGTATGACGGAACGTTCGTCCAGTGCTTCAAGGTTTTCAACGCTGGTCTAACATTTGTCGGTTCCTGATCTCAGTTATGATTGATAATTGTTGTCTGAGTTGTTTGCTTAAAAAAAATGTTAATAGTTCACATCAATGTTTTCATACTAGATTTTCATATCTCAGTCTTCACTAGTAAGGATAGGAGGTCTATCGACCTGTAATAATCCTTGCAGTTTGTAACACTGTGGGGCTCCGATCTCGCTTTGAATGAATCAACAGAACGTGCTGATACTACGTATTCTGGTAGAGAATTCTCAAAATAACTGTAAAAAGATTAAGATTATTAAATTAGAGTTCAATGGACTATTGGTTCGAATTCAGTTAGCTTTTGATGTAAAAAAATACACTTTTTACATCATTAAAACAATAACGTTTAAAATGGTATGTTATAATTTCTCATATGAGATTCGGAAATTCATGTTAAAACTAGCACAAATATATGAATATTATTAATTATATGGATTCTATTCAATACAATGTGAATTGGTAAGGAGTTTAAACTGAGAATACAATATAGAAGTATATATGGTTTCATGATTTCTCACCTGTTGTTTATCATCAAATGTAAATACTCCTGAGATTGAACGAGTTTAAACAAATTTCGTCTATCCAAATTATAATTTGGTGATTTATTAATTAACTAACTTGTCAAGCATATTATTATTATTATATTTCTACTATAGATTCAATATTCAGTGCTTTGCACGTTTCATACAATTTATTGGTTACTTAAATGATATACAATTTGCCTTTTTAATTGATGACTGTGATCAGTTGGAACCAATGACCTTAGAATGGTTACCACAAATTTTACCCAAGGTAATTGATTCAGTTAGATTGTTTTCATGTTGATCGTGGCTTAAAATTTATCCTAATTTTGTAAGTGTTAGGTTTCATGTGTTGTATTGTAAATATTTCCTAATAATTTAATATTATATCAGCGGAACCGATGTTTGTGTTCTGGACAGAACGGGCTGGGCTAGGAGATAGGTTACCTACAGTGGACCCGTAAGCACTCAGAGTTAACTCAAGGCTGTTAGTGTTGGTTTACGCATCATTGGTTTATTACAGGAGCAAGTCACAAAGCTCGATATTCAGATTAGCGATTTTTTCATGTGATAATTGACAGAGTCATAGGACCTAACGGGTACTGTTTGCTAAGTGATTTTTTCTGTCTAATCATAAACGTGTTTTAACCATCGTTATTGCAATGATTGTAACCGAAGATTATTTATTTTTTCTGTTTCATCTTCAGAAGACAAGTAAATAGATTGCTCAGTTCTATTTTTCCAAACACTTCCACAATGAACTTGAGATAAGTCTTGTTCGATCAGAGTTAACTAGAATTTTGTCACATTTTTTGAAAGTGCATGCCTCTGCCGATCGTTCTCAAGCTTATAGCATTTAAAATTTCAAAATTTTAATAAAATTTAATCATGTAAATTTAATTGTGTAGAATATCAAGATGATTAGAAAATGTATCGTCTATGTATTATGTAGTTATATTTCTCATGGCTAAGGAATCTCGGTAGTCTCTTATCAGCTTATCTAAGTCTTCCTGATAATTTGTGCAAACAGCCTTTTATGGTGGATATGACTTTCAGTAGCATAGTTTACTAATTTGCGATACCATATCAAATAATCATTGTCAGAGATTAGTTGTGGGTCAGTCAAAAGCCACCAATTGCGAAGTCCACATTGTATCAATCAAAAATCTTCTAAATAACAAGTGCATGTTATTGACCAAGAGATGGTAGACATATATGTATATGATTTTATCTAGCCCAATAAATTTCCTTCTTCATTCTTAGTTTTCTCACTCAGTAACCGTTTGGGGTTTGGAAATTGGAATTTTCTGTATCGGTATTAGTCTCGGACACAGCGACATCATAATTAATCTCGAACGAAACTTTCCACTGATAGTCTCAAAAAAATTAAATGATTGAGGTAATAATTGAAGGATAGCATTAAAGGGATTAAGTCAATTATCCTCCGAACTGGAAATATTACATTTAATTGAATTTGCGAGAAACGACTTTTTTCGATTCATTTTTTGTGTTCAAACTGCATTGAGTGGGAGATGTTTTATCATTATGAAACAATAGACACAAAGGATACCTATACAATAAGTTGACATGTGTATTTATTTTCGACTCGAACATCTGATACATGACATGTTGAATGATAGTTTTCAGAAAAAAACGACTTGGTTATAAACACTAATAACAAGTCTTTCTAGTATTTCCTCTATGTGCGTATTTGCGCGCGTACGCGTACGTATATATGTATTTTCTCTTTGTTCTATGTTATTTGTTTCATAATTATCTAACAATAAAATTTTGACAATCTACAGTTTTTTCGCCAACTCACTGGTCTTAAAACAATGTTGTCACCACAAGTTCTAAAAGTTCTGGATTTGATCCTCGATGTTGTCGTTCATGTGTACTTCTGTTGTGTTGGAGGTTACAGTATTACTCATCAAATAATTGTGGTTTGAATTAGCCTCGTTTACCAGTATCCATAGGGACGGATATATTAAAACTTTGCAATTGTTTCGTGTCGGATATTTGCCATGTATCGAATTTGCCAATAAATACGTAAAGGTTATATTTTTAAAACTGCCTGTTACCATATGATTCTGATTAATTTTGAAAATTCTATTTCACAGAATGTTCGATTCGTTTTAACATGTGATTCCAAATCATCAATTGCTCGTAGTTTGTGCAATCGAATTGATTGCCAACTATTAACTGTATCCGGATTAACTACACACGAACGTGGTGCAGCTGTTCGTAGTTTACTTGGAAAATATGGAAAAGTTTTAAGTGAATCCGGTTTTCGAAATCAGGTATGTTTCAATGATTTATTTTGTCTGAAATCAATTTTGTTTCAAAACAATAACTGATTTACTCATACGTTCAAGATATTCAACGTTAAATCTTTTATATTTTCGTGGATATAATTTCATTTGGTCGATACTTGATGAGACTATAGTCAATGGATTAACTAATGTATTTAAAGATAACACGTTATGGGTTTGGACGCAAAATTCATTAATCCAATTGGTTAAATAGCACTTTGACATTAAAATTGATGTCAGTTCGGGATGAAAACCATAATTCCAAATCATAACATTAACTTCTAACTCTAAATACTAATCTTACTTCCTCACATTTATTAATAACCCTTTTTTGACACTAGTGTAAGAAGATGAATACTCTCAAAATCATTTCGGTATTCTTCTCAGAGGTCGTTCATAGCTTACAGTTTCGCCATAAATATGGCTTTTCGATTACAAGAAGCTCTATGACATATTTGTAGTTAATAAATAATAAAAATTAATTAAAACACAAGAAATCTTAGCGACAACTACGTCGATGTATCACTTAACTGAATACTTATTTTAAAATGATCAAACTAATTGGTGAAATAATTACCTCTATCAACTTTCATACTATTCACATATCTCAAATGTATGCGACATCATTTTATTATTTATAATGTACAGAAATTGTCATATGATGAAATGTATTTTTCAAGTAACCTCATAATTAACGAGCTCAACTTTCAATCACTAGTTTTCAAGTCAGAGTCTCATTCTATTTGTCTAAAGAAGTCCTAATCAGTTAGGTAGTGTTACAAGGTTTAAAGCGACTAAAGTTTGTCTAAAAAAATCAAATACACGAGTATGTATGTTTGATGAAAAGCTAATTGAATTACATTACGGATATCCAATTGAACATGAAGAATTTATGCTTTCTTCTATAAATTGCAGTGAATATATGTACCTGAGGTGGATCATTTCAGTGTAGTAATTTTATCTGAGCTAGATGGTTTAATCATTGTGTTTTCATTGGTTTCACTGTAGATTATAGTGTTTGAATAAAATAAGGTTTACATATTTGTTTTATTAATCTGATTGTTGTTCGTTTTCTCTACTTCACAGTTATCTGTTTTAATTCAAAAACGAGAAGCAAGTATTCCACTTTATTTGAAATTGGCTTGTGATGAATTACGTTTGTACAGTAAATATGAACAGGTTAGTGTCCTATCTTGTACATTTAACTTTTAACTTGACTTTTTTATATGATATCTTTAGTTTAATATCACAGCCAACTATAGCATTGATGGATAGTTATTCATGGAATTTTCCCAATAAATATTGCTAATTGCAACATCTTATTCGATCATAGGTGTCTTCGAAGTATTTCTTGTGCTGGAAACACAGAGTAAACAGTGCCTGGGTTAAGAATAGGGAACTGGGCAAAGATTACAAATCAATTGATAATGTAGTGGATCTTCATCAACTGAAGTGTTTAGGATATGTGTTACGTATGCATAACAACCGCTTGCCTCTACGGACAATCTTGTCTGGTGCAGGATTAAGTTGGAAGAAAGCTAGGACGGCCACATAAAAATGAGCTACTAGTCCACGAAGTTTTTGAGCGTGGAACTGAGCCATGTCTATAGGTGTAGACTACCGCGTAATTATCATAACCGGTGGTTAGAGACCTTGAACGATATTGCTCAAATCATTTGAAATGACGTAGGCACATCCATTCTTTTTCTTCACTCAATTCTGAGATTCTGAATCATAATTTTTTGGTGTTTGGTTCCACCCATTTATATTTTGCTTGAATCGTATCTTCGACACCCAATCTTTTTTATTCCCATATATTCTGTTACTACCTCTAATACTCTGGATTTGGCCTGGCAGTTTTATCTTCTGTGCTAACGGGTATGGCAACTGAAACTGGTGTACATACGTACCAGGTTGTATGTGGTGACTGATTGATTGACTAAAACTTCATTTTAGCACATATCAACAAAGTGACTCTCATCGACCTGATTCATATATACATAATTTTTAATGCCTCTCAAATGATTTATATGTATTCGTACGTTTGTTATTCATAGTTTTAAGTATGATTATCAATTTAAATTGTTTGATTTCCATTTTTAAATAGTTGGATGCAAAATTAAAACAACTGCCTGATACAATATCCAGTTTAGTGATAGATGTTGTCAAACGAGTTGAATGTAGTTGTGGATCAGATTTAACTTGCATTACACTTGGTTTACTTACTTGCTGTCGTCAACCATTGTCAACGGAAGAACTACATAATTTAATTGATGATGGTTAATTGAATCATGGATGGAACAACAGTTCGAAAATGGTTATACAGATTGTTGGAAAGATTTAAAAGTGCCATTGGACAACCTTGATGATATAATATCAAATGAGAAGATTATTTATCGAATAATCAGTGATCAATTTAATAATAAAAATAAGCCTACATTATCTAAAGGACAACCACATTTGCCGTCGCTTTTATTGTATATCCTTTAACTGGTCTTCATCCTTTACTCTCTGGTTTCATTGATGAAAAAGCTGATATTGATGAAATTGACAATGAATTACCGCCTGATGGTTCTATGCAAACAATAAAACAACAAAAGCTTGCTATATGGAATCTTGGTTCAAGAGCATTATCATTTAGCAGTCGTGAAATACACAATCTAGTCTATGATATATGTTTCAATCAATCAAAATACATTATAGGTCATGGAAAATATGAATATACTTTCAAAAATAATCAAATGAAGAATTTTAACAAACGTGCAAAATATGATGAAAGTATGCCCGGTGATAAAATTCATTTGAAGACAGTGACTCTTCAAACTATACATAATATTTTAGCTTCAAAATTACGAAACATGAAAGATTTAATTTATCATTTAGTAAGTTCATTATTAGCCTATTTATTATTGGATAAATGGATATTTTATTTGAGACCATGAATTGATCAATATTAGACCACCATTGAAAACCCGGAAGCATTGGACGACCGTTTCGTCCTAGTATCGAACTCCTCAGCAGTGAGGGTTCGGGCGCGAGACCGAAAGTCCTGGGTTCGAATTCTGCCTGCGGGACCGTGGATGCCCACTTCTGAGGAGTTCCATACTAGAACGAAACGGCCATCCAATGCTTCCAGGTTTTCAATAGTGGTCTAACATTGGTCGGTTCATGATCTCAATTCAAAAACTCAACAATCTCCACAGTCTTATACTGAGAATGTTTTATTATCATCCCTCCTTCTATATTTAAAATAAATTGAATCATTTTTGATACTTTAATAGAGTTTGCTGTAAATCGATAAATGGTGTATTTTAGAATTATATCTGAGCTGTACTTCTTACTTATCTGTTTTAATTCGAGTATAAATTTTCTCTGTGGGATTATTCAACAACTGTTCAGTCCTCTGTGAATACTTAAAAACATTGTGAAATTAGTCCTCCAGAAACGAGATCGAAGTGAAGAATTAGGTCTTATGCCGAGTAAGATACCCTTCTCAACCAGAGATTCACGTTTCTAACTTCAATTGATTTTTCACATAATGTAGCTATCGTTCAGTCTCCATTGGTGAAGAATAGCTGCTTTATTGTATACGTAATTTAACTTCGTTGCTATCAATTCAGTTTTTTGGATGTACTAACATTATATATATATATATATATATATATATATATATATATATATATATATGTCGAATACCCTGTCTAAATGATTGATGACCGAGATGTATGTTTTTCCGTAAAAATTAATTTTAGCATCATGCCGGTCGATTAAATGAAGTTGTTTGTTTACTCAGTAGTCCAGCGTTTCTTATTCATCAGATTGAATCTGGATATGGTTTGACATTGTTAGACGATATGAATAGATGCAGTAAGTGCTCTATTTTCCATTTGGTCATTACTGCTAACTGGGTGAAACTGAATTTAAATGTATCTTTATTATTGTTTCGGTTCTAATGGAGGTTTCTTCGGTTTACGTGTGTTGAATTGATTGCTAGGGGGACTTCATAGCTTAGTTATTAAACGTTTGACGTTTGAAGAAACAATGGTGGTGGATTCAAATTCCAGTTAAATTATCAAAATTTAGATTCAGTTAAATCAAGATAACATGTTCTAAACAATACTTTCAGTAGATTCTGTATTCCATTGTCTATCACCAAACGAAATATTACTTTAAGATCAATTTCGTCAAGGTTTTATTTCATTTGAAAACTATCTATAAAGTGTTATAAGTAAAAGCAGTTATCTATCATATCGATCACATGTTGGGTGATTTAGTTATTGTAAAGTCATTGGGGTAGTCGTACATGGCCAATCTTAACCTAGTTGCTTAAAGACATCTTATTCGTTGCTCGCTGTTGGTTATAGTTACTGCACACTTTCAAACTAAATTGAAATAATTGATTAAGTGGCCATTTGTAGTCAGTAGCTAAGTAGATAACGCTATGGCGTTTGAAGCGAAAGACATTTGATTCGAGTCCTGGAGCAAACGTCAACTTTCGAATGTAGGTAGGTACATCCAGTTGTCGAGTTCCTAATAAGAAGAAATACGAGTCGTGGTTCCCACTACTAATCACCGTCTATCTTTACTTCAAAGTACATCAATCGGTTTTTAATTTTGATTGGTTTTCCTCTTATAATTCGTGATGAAAATGATATTGTCTTTTTTAGTTTTTATTCATCGACCATTTAGGATTAACAACGTATTTTCCATGAATTGTATGCAATTATATCTATTTATAAGTAATACAGTATCATTTTTCTCATATGGTTTATTCGTTTGCAGATATTCTGAAGCAGTTGTAGAGTGAAGTGTGATATCAGGCTGAACTCTGATGAATACGTGTTTAATTTGCCCTCTATTGTTAGGATACAATGAAACATCTAATATTTTAAAAGACAAATAAGTAAATAAATAATGTATTCTGAAAATAATCACAGTACACATACCAATTCATGGGCATAATCATGTTGATACAGATAACAATGTTATATGTAAATGACAGATGTATGGTTTTAAATTTTTCAAATTCGTGTCATTTAAAAAGTTGTTTTTGGAATGTATGGGTTACAACACTGCGAAATCAGTTGAGAATGGTTAATTCTTCGTAAGGAAACTATGACATCGTATTGATGTAGTAATATTGCACTCAAGGTCATCTCTACTGCCATTACAGAATAATTGTAGTCATTTCCAACTAGAAAAAAAACAAATTTATAGGTGTGTAGTTTAAATTTCCTTAATCGTTATATACAAAGCTGACGAGTCCCAAATAGGACGAAACGCGCGTCAAACTGGATTCCACTATCCATCTTTCCTTGTAATGCTTGTGACTCAAGGCAATATCGAGGCGATCCGCACAGGATTCACATATGTCAATAAGAGAGTGATCAATTGCAGTCCTAAACATAAATGGGAAGTTTCAAATAACCAATACAAAAATGAATTAATAGTTATATGTGCTAAGAAAATGTAAATAACTAATTAAATGTTATATATTTTCGCTTCGTGAGTGACATGAAATGAAGTGAGTGAGTTAGTTAAAGGAACAGATAAAATTCATGAAAAGAACTTAATTAAATATTTGTATGCTGTTTACCGACGCGTATGAGCCCGAATTATGTTCATTTCAAATATTGTTAGATTAGTGTCTTATCATTAGTACTATCATTATGTATGAAACAAAGTAAATAATCATTATCTTTGAGATTTACCACCCTTTTTCTGATCATTATGATCATTTTTTTCTCAATTAGTTACAACTACTGCTCATCATCAATCTAAACCGAACAATATTCCTACTTCATTAGATCTTATGAAGGATAAAATTATAACTATGCAAAGGTTTCTTGCATCGAATTATGAATTTTTAATTAAGTAAGTTGATTTATTCATTTATTTAAAACAATTATTTTATTTCACTGAATGATAACAACTCTGAAAATGGTTCTATTGATTATTTTAAGAGAATACCGTTCTTGTGGCCCTATATCTGACTCCATTTGGATCGCATTATAATTGTTATTGAAATATTCATACAGCCAATCTTCGTATATAATCATCGACTGGAATCGCGTTAGTGAATAACGAGCCGAAAATAAGTTAAATACGAGAATGAATTTTGAATACTTATGGTCCACACAACCGTCGATCTGGAAGGACAATCAAAGGAGCGAACCGAAGGAAGCGAAGTGGGGAGAGCGAAACGAAACGAAACGACGTGCGGTAGGAAAGGCGTGTGAGCCAACTCCCTTTAACCAAGCGTGAATCGATATTTATAATCAAACGAAAATAAGCTACAGAAATGTGAGGAGTAGGATAAGCAATGTACACACATACACTCACATGAAAACAGTCAAGGTTGATAAACGAATAAGTGATCAGGTAAGAATGTGACTCGAGAAGAATGAATAGATTGGTCTGTCCAGGCTAGAGTAACCTATATTGGATTGATATAGTACCAGACTCTACACCGTTAACAGGGCTTATATTATTATTATTTTTGTTATTATTACGTTTATTATATGGGGATAAGTTTATGAAGAGTAGTGTTAATCGGCAACTGGTAACGGCTGTATTCTTCATGTTTAGTGTTTGTGATATAATTTTGGTCATTTTAAAGTTGTACATTATTGTAAAATGATTGTTTTCTATATTATACTTGGTAATTATCAATCAGTATTATTATATAATTTAATAATAAAACAATAAATTAAAATGTTAGAGTAAACTAATGTCCTGATAATCAATAATATTTAGTGAACGATTGAGTACTTTCTAGATCTTTCCTCATCTGATAGTTGGTAAGTTTCGATTACTGTCTGAATTTATGACAATATAACAATAGCTTTCACAGCTGATATCATCTTAACTTGTTTAATAAACATTGAAAGTGTTGGGATAGTCGGAAAAAGAGACCAATAATTACCATGTTAAGTTCAATGGTGTCCTTGAACCTTAAATGTACATTTCTTATTGGTCGATGTTTATTTCACTTGTTAAATATTGTACAAATGTTGTTTCCTATTTTATGGTACGATGTGGGTTGTTTGCTTGGTATATAAATAGAGTATGTTTGAAATACAATGATTCATAACTCAGAGGCTGTGACTTGCGTTCTTCACTCAACTGGCTGGGACGGACAGCGGAGCGGGACCAATCAGGGCACTAGGTCGTTCATACGTGTTTTCCGTGTCCACTGTACTCCGATCGATAAATACGCTGCTTATCAAAACCTGCAGTCCACACACACGCGTTACAACAGAAAGCGAAGTTATTAACACTTTTTTTCTTGATACAAAGTTAGGGTAGATTGGTGTTATAACCTGTTTACAAAATACTTTCCGTTTATTTAGTTGTATCCAAAACTAATAGTCTTTAAAGCTTAGGTTGTGTATTTCTTGAATGGATCACATATTCTATGTATTCTCTTTTAATTTATTAAATAACTGTTTTTTCCTCTTGTAAATTATGGACCACTATACATTTGGTCTAGATGGTTTTTTATTTCATTCTTGTTTGATATAATAAAGGAGGAAGTATGACTTTTGAGATTACGGTTTATTATTTATATTTTTGTTGTATGATTAGCAGACGCTTTGAATGTTGTATTTTATACTCTCCTCTTTCTAAGCTTTCGTTTGATTCGTCTTATAATTTATTGTACCAGATTTATCATTAATTAATTATTCCCCTATCGTTCTGGTATAGTATCACTTATGTATGTGTTATGTAATTTGTATTTGTGTTGCTCTGTGGTCAAACCTTTCAGGTATATTATCGTATAAATTTGGAGTAATAATTGAACTGAGTATAGTACAGAGCAAATCTGCTCTCTGTTTTCGTTTTCTGGTTGTCCACTCGGTTAGAACTAGTAACTTGTGAACTGATAACTGTCAAGGTATTAGTGGTTGTTCATTGGTCTTTGTGTCAATTAGTAAGTGTAAAGTCACTAGTCCCACTGACAATGTAGGTGAACTAATCGATAATCGACCTAGAGAGAGTGTGTGTGCGAGATCGTGCAACTGCTCTCCTTTCATTTCATACTACGAATTGAACACACGAGACCCAATACAACCCAAATAATCAGTCTGTTTGTTTTTAACAACGTAACATTGTTTAGTTTAATTTTCTGTTTATTAGACATCCGTATTCATTCGCTGAATTGGCTATCAATCAAGATGTTGACGAATGGATTCATACAATTGGATATGCATGTTTACTTAGTTCAAATTATCAAGAGAAAATCAATGGTGACTCATGTAAAAAAATTTTCCGTATTAAATTAAGTACTAATGACATTCAATCTATCCTACCGAAAATTGTTCAACCAATTGCAATTCATAAACCAGTCACACCACTAACTGGTTCCCAAGATATCCCAATCTCAATTGAACTTGATCGAACAGGTAATTTATTAGCTTATGGAACTGAGTCTGGCACAGTTACGGTTGTCGAGGTTCAATCATTTAAGGTAAGTTTTTCGCGCTTTTCATTTGTTTTTTTTCTAACAATATAACGAAATGGTTATCATTGGTATAAACCTATATAAATTTACTTTTTTGTAAGTCCTATTTTATTAAATCTATTACTTCATCATTAACTCTTTGTTTTACTTTCTGTTTTCTTCTTTTAGATATTATGTTCATTTCTTGGACATAATATGCCAATACTCAGTTTATGTTTTCTTGATGATTTTGCCTCTGACGGTTCTACGATCAGACCATACGGTATGCCGAGTTCACAATTATGGCTAGTTAGTACTAGTCAGGATGCTAGTATACTTATTTGGGATTTATCAAATGTGATAAACAGTGTTACATGTGGAATAGCAACTAGTATCAGTTCCCAAGTGTCTTCTTTAAGTGGATATCATCACAAACCTGTGACTGTATCTGCTTGGCATCCGAAACGTCGTATTTTGGCTACTGGTGGTTTAGATTGTTTAATTTGTTTATGGGAAGTTGGTGAATTGGGATTTGGGTCATATTTTACGTCGAAATCATCTGGTTGTAAAAAAATTAAACCTAGTAAAAAGCTGAATATCAAATCATCGATTAATTCAATTGCTTTTCGTTTACCGAATTATGCATCGGATAGCGAAAAATCTATTCCTGAATGTTTACGTGATGTTATGGCAGTGGGATGTTGGGATGGTTTTGTCCATTTCTACAGTCTCATATCTATGAATTGGATAAAGGTGAGAATTAACATTTATTTTATTATGTTGTGCTACTATATTTAATGGTTTTCAATTACTTTTGTTCGATTTTCTTTACTCTTCTTTCTCTCTTTTGACATTTTATTTTCTAGTCTCTTGCAATCTCAACATCTGCTATTTGTTCACTGGCTTACTCGCCGAATGGTGGCAGACTGTTAGCTATTCTTGATAGAAAAGGTCAAAGTTTCATTTTAAATGCGAATACATTTGCATATCTAGGCCGGTTAACTGAAAATGTCACTTTTTCATCAATTGATGAATTCGCTTGTCTTGATGAACTGCATCATTTATTACCGAATCAAAAGGGAGTATTATGTTTCTCTGAACCAACTGGACGTTATCTCATTCAAACTGGCGGTGGGTCATCAGTTGGTCGAATCAATGTTTGGAATGCTCATCTCGGTGCACCTGAAGGTAGGTAAATTGTTTCATTAAATAATGGCCTGTGAAAATTTGTTTTTTTTTGCTCAAAAGTATTTGTCAATTAGTTTTTCAAATGTCTTTTATAACAGTGTTTTCTTCTCAAATAATATAAAATTGTCTAACCAATTAGCAGCGAGAGTTTAAACACAAAAGTCAGATCGAAAGAGCTTGATAATAATGACCTCTGTAGTAACGCATAGTAAAAGTGGTGATCGCTGTTTATTAATTATTTTACATTGATTTATGATGTTCACGTTGTATCCGTTACCCATTAAGCGTCTAGTGATCTCATTTATAAATACTTACTTCCTTCAAACAAGACTTTCGAGTAATGTATACAGTGAATTCTCCTTTCAATGCTTCCTAATTATTTGCTTCCGTAAATACGTTTGAAAGTGATTTTGAAAGTCGTTAATCCATTAAGCCATTCCTTCGTCTTATTATCTATTCATTAGGATTCTCTGACATTTTCGTTTTGACCCTATAATTATTTATTTGAGGCATAATAGGAGTAACTTTATCATTAGGTAACATAATGAATAGTAGTGTTTGTTGTTATCTTGTTTTTAATGACAAATATACTCATTAATAAGTCAAACTTCAACAACTGTGTATTCTGTATAACAAATTGTACAGTTAAGAATTGTGTATAAACGTTAAGGATTCATATATATGACTATTTGTTTTAGATTTCTTTGTACCTTTTGGATTCATTTTCTCTTCAGCACTTGTTCTTTGTAGTCTTTTTTTTGTGTTAGCTGCAGAATATTTGCACCTATGATTTATAAGAATACACATGAAAGAATCTGCTCTGCTGGATCGTATCTTGTCGAGTTTATTGATCATTGACTAACTAACTAATTATCATGTAATTAATGAAAATAACCTTGTTTAGATTTTCGTTCGCCGCTTTGACTTATACCGCTTATGTATTTTGGATTGATACTACCAGTTAACTTAAATGAAGTTCCTGGTACAGAGTTGGAACTGGTGAACGAACGGTGAAAAACCGATTCTTTTAATCATTAAACTGCATTTTTTCATCTATTAACCAGGGTGTTTATTCTCTCTCTTTGTAGGTCCATGGATTAACGTTAGTCGCAATAAGAAAGAAATGAAACGAACTATATTTGTCACAACCTATACTATTGACATAAGTGGAAAGTATATCATAATTGGATGGAATGATGGTCTCTTCACTATTGTTCTAATGACCAATGGTGATACTGTATTCAGTTCGGATAAATTAACTCCTTTGATAAACGATAATTCATCTGTTGAAGCTATCGCTTGTGGTATTTCACCTTATTGCGATGATGCTAATCTTGTCGTTGTTGGCTGGTCATCTGGTGCAGTTAGGGTTAGTTTTTTTTGTTTCGATGATGGGTTTGACCCTATTTAATTTGTTTCAAAATCCAGTTTTGACTATTATGTCATATGTGGATGTTGTTCAGGAGTTCAAAGATATATCCTCCGTTGAAGTATCTAGAAGCTCAGAAAACACTAGGAACTAGTTCGTATATAATCAGCACTAAAAAGCTTTTCAAGAAAATCTCTAAAGTGGATAAGCACGTGTCACGTTTCGATTGATAATTATTTAAACCATTGCTATGTTCGGTATGTTTCTGTAGAGTTATAGAAGTGCATGGTCTTGTACAACTCTATAAATTTTCTGTATATAAACTAGCATTAACGTAAAGCTTTTATCAACATTTTCCCACCGTTTTTGTATTGTTTAATTTTACATGTGGAAGTAGTCCAGGTTTATGAAGACTAGCTAGGAAGCCAGTCCTGAACGTTCTTGTAGCAGACCTTTATCTAAAAGGGGACAATTTTCTGGTCTAAAAATGATCACTTAATGTTCAGAATTAGGTGCCGATTGATCTTTGATTATTATGTTTCCAATAATCGTATTATTTAAATGTTATTTGGCATAATGACGATATTTGTTCTATGGTCTAACTTGAAGTGTGTATAACCTGATGCTTGCACCGTTTTCGTTGAGCTGGTTTTTTTTTATGAAGTTATCGCAGAATTTTCATTTGAAAACAACTTCCCTACCTAGTGCTTGTGACTATGAGATTTTTCCAGATACTCATGAAAGTATCTATTCTTTATTATATAATTGCATATTTCAATAGTTGAGATCATGAGTCTATTGAAGCTAGAACACCAGGTTTTCCATGGTGGTTCGCTTGAAAATGCACGCAAGAATAAAGATCATCGCACTTCTATGCAGAATGCAATAAGATGCTACAAAGGAAACCCCACTGTCTTTTATTCCAAGTTGTACATGATAATGGTGTCTCAAGCTGTTGAGTTGCACGTTGTCTAATACTCCGACTAGGTGAGATGCTAGTCCTAGAGACCTAAGTACATTTTAATTCTTTCTCCAGAAACATTGAAGATCAATTAATTCTTTACATGGTTGATCGATAGTCATTATAAAAATAGTTAATTGTCAAATTTCCCTCGTTCACTTTAACACTACTCAATTAACATAGATTCGATTAAACATAGAGTATGTCATACTAAACAACCTTTGGTGAGGTTAATAAAGTCCCTTGACGACTATGAATATATTGATTTCACCACCGAATACCATATACATATGCGAACCCTCTCGCAGGACTTGGACCAGGACCTTCGGCCTCGCTTAAGCTCTAGAACACTGAGCCAGCATCCGACGTTAATGCCTAACCTTAATCAATCCATGACATTAAGTAATCATCTACCATTGTCTTTAGTTGGTGACTGTCTCGCACCCGACATGGATTGGCTCCACAGATCACTTTTCACTAGGACTCAAACAATTGCTTCTCAAAACTAATCATACCATTGAATGCCGACTCAGTGATCTAGAGGTTAATTCTTCGCACGCAAGACTGAATGTCTGGGTTCGATCGCCTATGATAAGGTCATGGATTCGCACTGCTGAGGAGTCCCTACTAGGACGAAACGGCTGTCAAGTGCTTCCAGGTTTTCCATGATTGTCTAGCTTCAATTGGCTCATGATTTCAACTATTGAAATTACTAAAATCTCCACAAAACCCCTTCTGACAATTACAGTTGATTTTAATTTTATATTTTAACTAATATTTATTCCTGAAATACTTTATTATAGTCAACACACCGTTTTGTATAAGTTGCAGTGAAGCGTTATAATATTGGACTTACCTAATCATAATTGTTTGAATTATAGTCAATCAGTCAGTCATAATCAACATATGATCTGAAATAAATATGTGCAGGCCCAACGTCCCGACCGTATTAGCACGCTGAGATGAAGTTAAAATGATACACACCCCTCCTTCTTATACCTTTCTTCCAACCTACTCTTAAACCAGCTAATTATCGTCCATCTACCTAGGCGTTGGTCAGATGTAATTATTATTTTCCCTAACAATCTCTGTCGATGTAGTTTGCTGTGAAATTCCATTCATTTATTTATGGACATAACATTCAGTGAATAACAGATTTACTGTGTACATCATATAATATGTCTGGGCATTGAATTTCCACTTTTGTAAGTGGATTTTGTCCTATCTATATCTAAATGTAAATATGTCATCATACTTTCTTATTTTGTCTGTCCATTTGGTTTATTACTGTTATTTATTTTCTCTTTTCTAGTTATATCACTTTAGCTTTAAGCCTGAAATTAAATCAAAACGAGATGATAACTCTACTGTTCAGTCTGATATACATTCTATTTGCAATTTATCCATTGTACCTTTGTATACTTCTTGGTCACATTCTATTGAACATGCAGAGAATGGGACAGGTGAAGCTGGTGGTACTCTATGCGCATCTGCTTCTAATTCTATCGCAGTTAGCGGAGGTGGGAATTGTGAAGTATGGGCGTATTTTGTTGGTTCCAAGTTAGAAAATCCTTTAGTGAGATCAATTTGTCTTCGACAACATAGTAGTCAAATAACTGCTGTCGCAGTACAAATGAATTTTATAGCTACTGGCTCGAAAGATAAAGTTAGTGTCTTAATCTTGTTGTTAATTATGAGAACAGGATATGTGTTTGTGAATGTGTAGCGCATAGGTTTTTCAATGTTTAATATATTTGCACGATATCTAGCTTTTTTTCCTTTCGTTTAATTAGCCAGTGAATACTGCATATAAAAGTATAATTTTGACCGTAGATTCCATTTCGAAATGTAATCTTCACTGTATTTGTCTCTTTTTTAATGTCGTGTAAGATGAGATGTACCACAGCATCGTGTTCATAGATGATAGATGTAGATAGTTTCAAATAATTGTAATAAAATGCTCAGTGATCCACTAAACCAACAGAAAAAAATATTCAAAGAAAGCAGACATTTTTTTTATTGAATACTGAAAAAAGATGGTTGTCTTCATTTTGAATGTATAGCAGCTTCTATTTTATTACACTCCTTCACGATTTTCCTCAACTTTTGGGCAGATAAATTATTCTTATCTTTCCAATCATCTTTCATTTTATACGTGACCTTTGGGAGTGTGTGCGCAATAGTAGGTATTTATTTATATATTTACATGTATTTCCTCCATGTCTATAAATGTTGAAAGTTCTTTCTATTTGTGATAATTCTTGATTTTGAATTGAATAAAATCCGACGAACAGTTTCAGACAACAGTTTTTCGTCCAGGTACATTAATAGTCATCTGAAACCAAGATGTCAAGTTGAATGTACTGCTCAATTTCGAAGTTTTATTCATGAACATCGAATTCACGAGAGATACGACCGTGAAGATACTGAAGTACAACCCTTTCCCCGAGAAAGTTTTTTTATTCAGTGTGATATTTTGAATTGTTTTCTCCAGGAAGAAACACTTTTGGGGAAATGCCAACGATAAACAACTTCCTCCTTTGTCTACCTTAATGTACATTTATCAGTTTACTTGCTTTTGTTGATCGGCTTATATTTGCCGTACAAGTCGTGCTCATGATGAACGAAGTTTCGGAGACTACCCTGCATAGCTGTCTAAACAGGAATACAAAATCGATCAACAACACAATCTTTGAACACGGGGTCAACTCTAGTCATCACACGCCAATCGTCGCTGAAAATCATCTATAGAAATAAAAGTGGCTCGAAAAAGCTTTTAGATGAAGAAACTAGAGCTATTCACCGTTCAAAACGCATCCACTGCGTACAAAAGAGTCAAGTCCAATTCATTATTCTTCCATGGTCTTAGTACTACTTCTAATCCTAAAAATACTAAGTGTCAATTATTATCTCATTCTTCACTATCTTCTCAATAAGGTAGACAGTAAAAGAAGGTTACAGCAGGATCGCCGCTGGCTTCTATTCTGGGCCATATCTGATAACGTCTCTAGCCATTGTGTAGCACCATCTCCCAGACCTCAACCAGGGAGTCGTGAAGGACCAACACAAGCCCTTCCTTTGCAGCTTTCTTTCATGCCACGACACCACGTCATGCACTGACCACCTCTCCGCTTTTTCCAACCAGTCCCAGAGTCGGCAAATAATGCACGACGCGGAATTCTCTGGGACGACATTCGTAGAACATGTCCAAGCCACCGAAGTCGGTGTTTCAAGATGGTGACATCGATTGCATTATCATATCTGTGCCCGAACACACGATGCCGAGCCTCTGCATTACTGACATGGTGTTGCCACTGGATGTCAGCAATCCTTCGGAGACAGCGATGATCAAACACAGAGAGTCGTCTAACATCCTCAACTCGTAGAGGCCAGGTTTCACAAGCATAGAGCAAAACTGCTCTCACCGACGCGTTGTAGATCCAACCTTTTACAGCCAGACTGACATCACAAAGGCGCCAAAGGTGGTGCAGATTGGCATAAGCTGCTCTGGCTTTCACTATTCGTGCATTGATCTCATCACTCACACCCCCACCAGCACTTATGCGGCTACCCAGATACACGAACTCCTCGACTACTTCTATCTGGTCACCATCCAGGATGAGTACAGGATTAGAATCCTGACAGTCTTGTTGAAGTACTTTGCACTTCGAAGGTGCAAAGCACATACCATACCTACGGACACTAATTGCCAACTGATTAAGTGTGGATTGCATGGCTTGGGCATTATCGCCCAGTAAAACAATATCATCCTCATACTGGAGGTGGAGAAGTCTTTCTCCAGGCAACAGATCCACACCACCATTACTTATATCCATCAGAGCTGTTTCCAGAATGTCATCGATGGCAAAGTTGAAGAGGAATGTTGAGATTAAGCAACCCTGTCTAACTCCACTGCTTGAATGGAACAATGGAGAAAGGTGGTTGTATGCCCTTACTCTGCCTGAAGTGTTTGTGTATAGGGCTTTTAGGATGTTAATAAACTTCTCAGGCACACCCTTCTTCAATAGACAATCCTAGAGAACAGTCCTGTCCAGTGAATCAAAGACAGCCCTGATGTCAAAAACACTACGATTGTTGGCCTTTGATAAGTAAGGCGGTGTTTTAACATTTGGCGGAGGGTGAAGATATGACCAATACATCCTCGACCAGAACGAAAACCAGTCTGCTCCTGGCCAGTCAATCTTTCTCGGGTTATGAACAACCTACGAAGCATGACGGAAGCCAACAGCTTGGATGCAATCGGAAGTAGACTTATCACCCGATAGTTGTTACAGAAACGACGTGAACCCTTTTTAAAGATAGGGACAACTATCGACCCAGTGCTTACAAGCGGGACGTTTCGCGAACCCACAACTGACTGTTCCCGCCATTTTCATGGCGTCATGCAATTGCAACCAATGCTCATCTATACTTTTCGGTGGAATGGTAGCTAGCCTAGAAACTAACTCGGTTCGATACTTACTTGCAACAGAAGTTGCAACCAGCTTGCTAACATCAATCCGTTAGTGGCGGTCACTTCGTTGTCCACTGAAAAGTAAGGTAAGATTGGCACAGACTAAAGCATGGTCAGAGTCCAGATAGGTACTCCAAAAGGAGCGGCAGTCTTGTACACAAATACGCCAGTGGTAGCTGATCGCGATGTGATCAATCTGAGTCCAGGCTTGAGATGCAGAGGGAGGACGCCAGGTGGCACATCGGCGATGACTGTGCCGAAAGTTAGTGCTAGCCAGAAACAGGTTGTGGTCTGTGCAAAGTTGCAGTAGACGGTCCCCGTTATCTGACCTGCGACCAACGAGTCCCCATCGGCCACCTAAACGACTCTCTTCTGTGCCTAGACGCCCGAACTGAGCATTCAAGTCTCCGGCTGGTACTACAATATCTGTCGAACGCAATTTCTGGAGGAGAACAGATAACTGGTGGTAGAACTCATCCTTGATTGCATCCGGGCTGCAATCTGTCGGGGCATAGGCGGAGATGACGAAAAGACATCGTTTCCCACGCCGATTTCTTCTCACTTTGATGGAAATTTCTAATCTAACAACACATAACCGACTGTTAATGGGGATCCAATCGATCAGTGCTGCCTCAGCTCTAGCGCTTAGTGCGACCCCAACGCCAGCAAGACCAGACGAAGATGCCACAGGGTCCCCGGATAAGCGCACGTAAAACAAGCTTTTCGAAGCGATAGATGAAGAGCGAATTTGTAGTACTTCACCAGAGTCTTGAATACGGGTCTCGGATAGACAGTAGACATCTATATTAAGACTTTCCAAAGACATAGCCAGCCCTATCTGTTGTCCGACCTGCATAAATGTGCGAACGTTGAAGGCAGCCAGTTTGAATGGTGCACGTGGTTTCAGAAAAACTGCTTCAGTCCTCGTATTCGGTGGTAACATACAATTTTCAACCGGACAGTGACTCGAGAACGTTTAGAAACAGTCGAATTTCCACCAAAGACGAGCCGCTGTATAAGTATAAAAGTGGGTGAATAATGTGGAAAATAATAATAATAATAATAATAATAATAATAATAATAATAATAATAATAATAATAATAATTTGAATCATTTGATTGTTATTCGAAGCGAGAAAAGTAGTTTCCGTAGATATTGAGAGTTCATCATTTGCGTGTGGGCTGCGATACTGCCCGGGTGCCCAGACCGAAGCAGGTGGTTATCTTAGGGGGCCACTCCCCGAGCCTTCGACCTGAAGGTCTGATCCACAAGGCAGTGGAGCATCGTGAGGAGATGCAGTCCCATGGTAGCCGGTGACCAACGATTGGTTCATACGCCATTTGTTCCCTCAGGATACTGGAGCCCATGTGCACCATTGGTTTGGGATCCGGTTAAAGCGCCGGACATTCGCTTTTCGTCTTCTCATTTTCGTAAACAACAGTAATACCACGATAGGGCAATGAATAGGATTTCCTTGTCAGAGGCTGTGTACGCGTGGCCGTGTGAGAGTATTTCGAGAGGGAGAGTGAACTCTCCCCACTCTCGGCCGTACCAAGGCATTTGGGGGCATGTGTGTAAATAAATAAATAAAATAAAATTTAGTCGGATGAGAAATAGTTATTTACGTAAATATTATCAATGACTCTGCAATATAGCACAAATTGGTTGAGCTTGGAAATGATGATTATGGAATTCTGTTTCAAATGTGGAAAACTATTATATTTCTTAAGTCTAATTTTGAATTCTACGTCGTGTCATTTACTTATTCAAATCCAAAGGATAAAATAATTGTTCATTGATCCAGGTAGTTGTTTGTTAAAGGGAGTTAGCATGATTATCAAATTGATCAAATAGAAGAAGCCTAACTGTTGCCGATCAAATACTTTGTTCACTAAGTCAATGCTCCATAAGTTTGTTTTGCAACCGTTTCATTCAAATGTTCAGTGATTGATGAACTAGTCTGTTCATCGTTTAAAATATTAGATTGAATTCACTGTAACTAGATCTCTATTCTTTTTTTGTACGTACCAGAATGTAGCTATCTACAGTTATGATTCAAATACTGCAAAAGTAACACTTCAATACATCATACATAATGCTTCTAAAGATTGGATTATATCATTGAAATGGTCATATATTCCGCATAAAATGCATGACAGAAAACTAACATTACTTGTTGGAAGTAATGATCAGTCAATTCATCTATATAGAATTAAATCAAAGAAATATAAATTGAAACAAACACTTGTTTCATATAAACTTGGCATTAAATCACTTGATTTCAATGTAAGTTTCATGGATGGTCATATTGCTAATCGTTTGTGTTTGTTGTTCTTTTATGTGTATGTTTGTGTGCGTGTTTTATAGAAGCAAAACTCTAACTAACCATTCATCAGCTACACCGATTTATATATTCGAGTTTAAAATAGAGTTGTGCTTTTTTTCCCATAAGACCTAGTGATAATTGAAATTAACAAATCATTTATCTTCATTAGCTTTATCCTAATCACATTCTGATAGCTATTAGTGGTAAACTATATTGAATATAAAACAAAAGAAAATTAGTGGGTAATCAATTTGTCCAAACCCATATTCATCACAGCTTAAATGAAAACTAGTATATTCATTGCATTTTTGTATTGGTTATTTGAATCTTCCTATTCATGTTTAGGACTCAAAATTGATCAGTCTCCTATTGGCATATGTGCATCCTATGTGGATTGCTTCGATATTGCCTTAAGTCTTAATTATTATAAGCAGAGATGGATAGTGTCTAGTAGTGGATGAAATGCTCGTCTTGGATTTCATTGTTATTCACTATCCATCTCTATTATGCTCATTGCTCAATCTGTGTTTTTCACATAAAATTAAACAATAATTATAAAGGATATTAAGTTTAGGTCATCATTATTTAGTTTGTAGTATTCACATCAAATGATTTCTCTCTTTATGTCATACATCAGACTCTACACGTATTTAATTCAAAGTATATCAAAATAAAGATCCATGTTGTAGTTTTTTCTTTCTTTCTTTCTTTTAAATTTCAAAATTGTAGTATCCTTATATTTTTTCTGCTACATCTAATGGTCATATAAGTGTATGGCGATATGGTCGAAATGAAAACTTTGAACTTATCAGTGAAATGATAATATCATCACCGTTAGACACCTTGAACTTGAATACAACCAATGAGAATGTAGTGAATCTTATTAAAGTTCAATCATTTGAATATACTCCTTGTTATTATTCATGTAAGTGAGAATGATTTTTCTTTTGTTGCATCAACACATCAATTTTTCAATGTTTAATATATTTTTTTACAATATTTAGCTTGTTTTTTCTTTTCATTTCGTTGTCGATTAAATACTGTATATAAGAGTATAATTTTAACTGAGGATTTTATTTCAAGCCGTAATTTTCGCTGTATTTGTTCCCTTCCTAATGTTGTAAGTTAAGATTTACTACAGTGTCGTGTTCACAGAATACATATTTAGGTCGCCCTAGATAATTAGAATGAAGCAATCAATGATAATCATGTTCTTATATATAGTACTGACTCACTAAATGAACAAAATAAAATGGTCAGAAAAAGTAGAGATTTGACTTTTATTGAATAATGAGAAGGGATCTCACTTTTGTCGAGAATAATTTACGAATTTAAAGCGTGGTTTGCTAATATAGCTGTATAAGTTCATTGATATAGATGGTAATATATTTAATATACATTTAATTGATACCTTGTGATTAAATGTGTGTAAATGAAAGAGTCGTTCACTTTCTGTGATGTAGTGCTTCTTACACGGTTAGTAGATTTCAAATTTATCTTTCCTTAATGATAAATTCACTTTCAATCACTTGGTCAACTGTTTGAACTGCTCTCTTTACTTATTCCGTTTTTGACTGTATCATCAGTAGGTATGTATCATTTTCAGTTCGTTGATCATTGATTCTGTTGTTTAATGACACGTCTGTTGATAATTACTCTTATTCCTTTTTATCAAACTGATTATATTTTACATTTGAATAAAATGTACTTTAAAATTACCAGTGCACTAAGCGTTTACATTGATTTGTATACACTTGTGTAAACTATGCACATAAGTACGATTTCTAGTAATTGGAGCGGGATCATGGATGCGCACTGTTGATGAGTCTCATACTATGACGAAACCGCCGTCCAGTGCTTCCAGGTTCTCAATGGCAGTCTAGCTTAAACCGGTTCATAATCTCAATCTTAATGTATGCTAATTTTGTATGAAAGAAAATATTTGTAGAAAATAATTCCGTTTGAAAAGTGCTTGTTAAAAATAAACAATTGTCTGAACACAGTTGCTCCAATGTGTAGTTTGGAGCGAGGTTTCAGTAAACCTGGGACAATTTTTCGTGCACTAGAATTGTTCGACATAGTGACACTTGAGGAAGGAACACCTTACTGCCGTCACACCTCTGTACAGTCAGTAGTACGACTTCGCCCTCGATCCTTGAGTTTGCTGCTTTGTTATTTATTTATTTGAACACATAAGTATTGGTGCAAGCGGGCATTAAATATATATGCTTCTAGTCGTATCGCTCTTTGACCGACCGGTCTGGCATGGTAGGAGCTTGTGGAACGATTGTTCCATCTAGTACAGCTCTATTGGTTCATCACAATATGCAAGCTCGACCACCATGTAAGGTGTCAGAAAATTTCGGGACTCATGACAAAGTCATGAATATGCACATAGTGTTAATGTGAATATGCAAGTCAAAAATGAAGCAAATATCCAGTGTTTCTCTGTTCTCAGTGACTGTTTCACTGAAGTCACTGTATGTTTAGAAATACTTTATATTATCGTTGTTTGCGCATATTAATTTCATTCATATCATTTACTTTAGCGAACAATAAAAATGTTATCAATTCTTACGATGAACTAGAACCTCATAAAAGTAAAGATTCTGTGGTCGATACTATGGTTTCCAATAATAGTCCACGTTCATTATCGTCTAATGATATTAATAACAATGAAGATGACAGTTTACAGCATCAGGATATTACGGATGAAAATCTAGTTAGCGACGAAGAAAGTGTGAAAGGAACTTCTGATCAGTGCTGTTTAAATAATGATGAATTAATGGACGAGGGTTCCGATGAAACACCAAGTCAGTGCTCAGAGAAAGATCTAATGACTGTGAATAAGTGTAATAATGTTGCTTTCAACAGTGATGAATCAACAGGATCTCACATTTTTGACAAATTTATTAATCGTCCTGGCTCCTTGTCAGAATTACTTGATGAGACTAATGTGAAACTTTTGATTGGTCAAACAATTTCCGGTTCACGTAATATTCAAGAGTTTCAATTTCGAGTATATGAACCATCACTTACAGGATATCATGCTACTCTAAGTGGTCATGCTGGCTTAATTCCTTGTGGATTAAGTTGTACAAAACCTCTGAATTCGAATAATGATGATACATTACTTATCAGTGTAGCTGGTCAAAATTGTGATTCTAAAACAATTGGCTGTGACATTCGACTTTGGAATTTACCTTTATCGAATAGTTCTTTATCATGTAAGTGACAATATTATTTTAACTGTTTGATATCTCACAGTATGTAATTCTGTCTCAAGTTATTTTTTCTTACATAACACACATTATAAGTGGAAATACTCCCTCAAAAGTGTTTTCATTAAATTTTTCACTCTGGAAAATCTCTTTAGAAAAACTCAAATTCATTCTGAGTTTAAGATAAAGTTTGGTTTGTAGCTTGTTTACATCTTACTAATACTCCACATAATACCTAATAAACCGTCTTTTCTCTCAATCTGTTTGTTTGCCATAGACTTCAGAATAGTTAATAATAAATATATTTTTTAGGATTGTGTTTACGTTCGTACTGAGTAGAAAGTTGTATTCCTGATGTTTCGTGACTAATTGTAACTCACTTCTTTAAAGTAAACCGACAAATAACCGAAATAGAATTATTACAAGTTTAGATAGTACAAAGGAAACAGTATGGAATATTTTTAGTACAATCGAAATCATAATTGGTCTGAACATGTCATGATGTTTTTGGTCAAGATGAATTTGTATGACATGTCACTGTAATAATTTGTGCGTCAGAAGGTGGGTATGAAAAATTTATAATTATTAACGTGAAGTAGTGGGGTTCAAATCGAATGTTTGTGTGTATGTATGTATGTAGATTGTGTGGAAAATGAAGTGTCAATGTGGTTTTTGGATGAATATTCAGACCTTATTTCTTATTGAGTGCAGATGAATTTAGCATTGTGTGAAACTTTCCGACTACTCACCTCTTTTTATAGTCGAAAAAGCCTTCCTGAATTATTTTGATATTTTTAATATCAATTTGATGAATATTGAAAATAACATGTACTAATATTGCTAGTTTCAATTGTAAATTTCCCAATTCTACAGGATTATTAAGTGTTTTTATGTAAGTTAAATGTTCTCTAGAACGAGTTAAGATGTCACCAGAAGTCTCTTCAATGTAGAACGCATCACAATTGAAATAACCTAGTCAATTTTGTATAGATGTAAACAGGATCTTATGTTTTATTCTAACCAAAGCGTTCCATAAAGTGTTGGTTGTTTTATAAAAAGCTTTGATTCTCTGTTTTCAAGATCCGTTAAAATTCTTCTGTGTACCTTGCACTTACATACTTACGCCTGTTAACACTCGTGGAGGAGCATAGGACACCCACCGGCATTCTCCATACAACTCTATCCTAGACAATATTTTCAAATTGCAATTCATTCTTTTGATGCCTCCTTCCGATTCCCATCGCACCATGTTCTTGGATCTTTCAATGTTCTGTTTCCTTTCAGGATTCCAAGTATATAATGTATGTCCTATCCACTTCCAACGTCTTTTCCTAATTACCTCTTCAGTTGGAAAATCGTTTGTCATCTGACAAAGTAGGCTGTTGCTGATGGTATCTGACCAACGGAAATTGAGTATTTTGGATAGACAACTGTTTATAAATGCTTGTACCTTTTTGATGGCAGTTTTAGTAGTTCTCCACGTTTCAGCTCCGTACAGTAGGACTGTGTTGACGTTCGTACTGATTTTGATATTGGTTGACAGCTGTTTTGAGTTCCATATGTTCTTCAACTGTAGGAATGCTGTCTTTACTTTGCCGATCCTCGCTTTTACGTCTGCACCAAAGTCTCCTTGTTCATCGATGATGCTTTCTAGGTACGTGAAAGGTCTCATCTGTTCCAAAGTTTCTCCATCAAGTGAGATTGGGTTGATGTTCTCTGGCTTATATTTGAGGATCTTGGTTTTCTCCCTCGTGTATGTTGAAGTTTACTGCTGCTACACTAGTTGTCTTCATTTGCATTTATTTGTGTGTATAGCATAGATGAGCTAGGTCATCTGCCAAGTCTAAATCTTCTAATTAATTTTGAGCTGTCCATTGTATTCTATGCTTCCCCTCAAATGTCGAAGTCTTCATAAACCTAGTCAACCACCAGAAGAAAAGGAAAAGAAGGAAGTAATCATCTTTGTCTGACTCCGTTCCTCACTTGGAATGCATCTGTCAGCTGTTCTCCATGCATCACTTCTCAATATAATCCGTCGTATGAATTAGGAATGATGTTGGTGATTTTCTCAGGTACACCATAGTGTCAAACAAGTTTCCATAAGGTCCTCCTATCCACACTGTCGAATGCTTTCCCATAATCAAAGAAGTTGATGTATAGTGACGAGTTTCGTTTAATTGATTGTTCAACGATGATTCTCAGTGTAGCGATTTGGTCTGTGCACGACCTATCCTTATGGAATGCGGTCTATTGATCTCGAAGTTGAACGTCTACTGAATCTTTCATACAGTTCAGCAATCCTTCTTGGTACTAACAGTAATATGAGACCTCTGTAGTTCTTTCTTTGGTATCTTGATGAGGCGTCCTTCTTTCCAGTCTGTCGGCACTTGTTCTTCCTCCCAAATCTTTCTGAATAGAACGTGGCGCATCTTTGCATTTGCTTCTATGTCTGACTTTAGAGCTTCAGCTGGTATATTGCCAGGTCTTGATTTGTCTGATGGCCATCCTGATTTCTTTTATCGTTGTTGCGGTGACATCTGTAGGTGCTACTTCGATGTCCGGTGCATTTAATGGAGCTGTCTATTCAAGAGTTCCTCAAAGTGTTCCACCCATCTGTTCCTCTGTTCTTGAATTTCAGTTATTGGCTTGCCTTTGTGTTTGACTCATCTCTCCATGCTAGTTTCTTTGTCGTGTCACATAGTTGTTTCATATTTCCTTCTCTTGCAGCTTTTTCGGTGTCATTGATAGCTCTTACACGTATTTCTGCTTGCTGGTTCTAACTCTCCTCTTAACTAGCTTGTTCGCTTCAGTGCATTCAGCTTGTGCCTTGAATTTCTCTGCTTTTGCTTGGTCGTTGTTAATCGCTGTCTTCTTGTTTTTCCTTTCTTGAATCCTGACCCTGGTTTCGATAGTAATCTATTCCTTATGATGAAGCTTCTTGCAGCCCAGAGCCTCCTGACACGTTGAAGTTAATGCTCCATCGTAGTTTCTTTTTTCCGTGGATCCTGTAAGGCTTGGAACCCGTTACTGGGATCTATTTTAAATTCGTTGAGTATGTGAGTATCTTGAAGGAAGACTTTATTCGTTACCCAGTGCTTCTTTAGCGTCAGTTTCATCTTGTCAATCACCAGGTAGTGATCTGAAAATGTGTCAGTTCCTTTCTTTGTTCTCTTGTCTTCCATGAAGCTTCTGAAATTTTTATTGATCTATCTGGTTCTGTGTACCGTGATCTGGTGAGAACCATGTAGCTTTGTGCATGCGTTTGTGTTGGACTATTGTGCCACCTATAACCATTTCGTGGAACGTACATAAATTTGAGAATCTATCACCATTCTGCTTCGTGTCTCCTAGTCAGTCCATTTCGTCCCATGATATCTTTATATTCGGTGTTGTCCATTCCAACTTTGGTGTTTAGTTCTTCCATCCTAATGGTTAGGTCCTTTCTTGGGCTCTTCGCTACGATTGATTGTAACTTTTCATAGAACTGATCTTTATCATCGTCGTTGCTGTCATTGGTGGGTTTTTGTACCTTGTAGTAAGGTAAAACCACAGTGCCATCCCAAGATCTTTCATAATTCCTGTAATTTACAGAAGGATGGTTTTGTTTTAATATGTTTTTGATAATATTCCTAGAAAAATTAATAAATCTCACAATATTACCCCTACGTGTTTTCTTCAGGTAAACCAACTCTTCAACATACTGGACCAGTTATATGTGCTGATTATCTGTATGTGACAAAGAATTTACAACTTTGTATAACTGGTTCAGTTGATGGTGACTGTATTATTTGGGCTGCTCGCGGTTCATCAACTTCTCAATCAATCAAAACTATAACTACTGCTACCACTACATATCAACCATTGATACGTTTAACTAATTCATATATGAAACCAAGATACAGTATAAATAGTATTGTTACACAATCATGGACAATGAATAATGAGGAAAATAAAATAGATTATTTCATTTTTATTGCTTTCGGTTATGAGATTTTAATGTTGCACATACACCTTAATCATGATATTTTAATTAATAAAACTGATTTGGAAAATAGTTTATTAGAGTTATTTTCAAATGGGAAACAATTGGATATAAATATTGTTGAATTAAATGCATTATGGTCAATTAAAACAATTGATGGTTATGCTGAAATACAAAGGTAACGTTATAATATTTATTGAAATATGTACTTTTTTCTAGAAAAGAGATATATTGGACTCTATAACTTAAGGAATAATCCGTTGAATGTTTGAAGTGAAAGGTATTCGATTGAAGACTTAGTGTGAATAGTAACGCCTAGGATGAGGGTACATCCATCTGACTCACTTTCCGGATAGCACTCCTACCCACGACTAGCTATCTAGAGGTTAAGTGGTGGTGCACGAGACTGAAGTTCGCAGATTCGTCCCCTGCTTGTGAAGTCGTGGATGCACATATCTGAGGAGTCCCATACTAGAACGAAACAACCGTCCAGTGCTTCCAGGTTTCCAATAGTTTTCTAACTTGGGTCAGTTTATGATTTTAATGATGTTCTCAATGTGTCTCACTGTTTCATGAGTGCATACCTGAGACAGATTTTCACAGCTACTTTACTCATTCACTCACATAGTATTTTTTGTAATTCAAACACGGTGCAAACTATGTTTGTCATTAATATACTTAGAAATAAATATTTATTCACATTTAGTCAGCCAGACAATGAGAAATGTTGCTATGAATTGTGGAATTCAGTCATATTTATTATTCTCATTTTCAAATTCCAGTTTCCTATAGGCGAGAGGGGTGTTAGTCACTTGATAGATATTAATAATAGTACAAAATGCTTGTTTTAATACCTTATAATGCAACGTATAATACTTATTGCTTCGCTGTCGTGGATATTCCGTATCCTTATTGCTTTCTTATTCTTCATCCTTGCTTTATTATGTCAAGTCACTTACAATGGTTTGATTCAAGTATGAACTAATAGAGTATATTCAATGAATTCAATTTACTTATTTATGGCTTCTTTCTTTGAGTAGAGTTTTATCTGAAAAAATTGACCATCTCTTTATATTTCGTGCAGACGAACATTGTCTTTTACTTAAAGACATTAAGTTGGATTTTGTTTAATTCAATGTTGAACTCATTGAATGAAGTAGCTTTTATGCAGACACTTTTTTAACCTAGACACTCATTTTTTAAATGTTTCTTTTATATGTCGATATAGAACAGTGACTTAATGAATGAGAGAATTATTTGTTTTCCAACCGTTGGGTTTGAAGTTCAAACATTATTCTAGCAACTTAGCTATAGATGCCCGAGTATTATAACACTAATCCTCACATAAACGTTATGGCTTGATACAAATGTCTTGACTTAATAAATAGTTACATTTCTCATAACGAAATGTAGTTATTTGTATCATTTCATTATTTAAAGTGTTTCCATGATCCTTTTATTTTTACTCTAACATGATATTGTGATTTTGTTATCATGTTTCTTTTCTCGATAAAGATTTAAAACAGACCATATCGTTGTCGAAATGTCTGCTTTACATCATGAACCAGTTAATATGAATCAGTGTGGTGTCGTAGCACTTTTGTCCAATGGTGAAATTGTCATTATTCCATTTAAACGTACAGACGATAAACTCATTCACCTTCGTGTTCGAGATAAGTAAGTGGATTTCTTTTCGTTTTATTTTACGTTGTGAATTTTTATCTACATATCAGCATTTTTTTATGCCGCTTATCCATAGATAGCTCTTTTTTTTAATATTCACTAATAATCAGTTAAATTCCATGCTCATACTTTTGTTTTACATGTTTCACTGTTCATTGACGAAACTTTCTCATTGATGGTGAATCTTTTATCATGAACACACTTTCACTAGCTTAATCTTAACTTAATTTTAAATGGAATATTAATGTGTAGAGTCTTCGAGTTGTGCTAACACATTCACCCTCTTTCATCCTCTCGATCATAAGTCATGATAATTCTCCCTATCTAACTTCCCATTCATCCTCTCGAACTACATTCTTTACGCTTAGTCTTTCTTACTATTATTGCTCCTGCCGGCGATTTTAATTTCTTTATTAATTTCATCTGGTTCTACTGATGTGTTATGGCAATTCAGGGTAACAGATAATGTTGACTCCATAAGCTGACGAATGATGATACTAATGAAACATAGATCCTTATTAATGTCGTGTATATTTTGTCAACTTAACACGCTTAGAACAACAAGGGTTTATCAACTGTTGGAATACGAGTGTTCCGGAAGCATATTTTGAAAATTTATATGAACAGATAAACCAATTACGAATAAGCGTATGCAGCGGATAAGATAAAGAATTATACAACATACACACACATACATCTATGTAACAGATGTGATAATATCAGAAGGGGTTTTGTGGAGATTTTAGTAATTTCAATAGTTGAAATCATGAGTCAATTGAAGCTAGACCACCATGGAAAACCTGGAAATACTGGATGGCCGTTTCATCTCGTATGAGACTCCTCAGCAGTGCGCATCCATGATGTGATAATGGGTCTGTGAAAATATATTGTATACAAGGTTACAAAGTTCTTGACTGAATTAGAGTTGAAATATTGAATAGTTATCATGTAGTAAAAACAAAAAAAGTAGATAAGTATACATTGTAGGTATTTCAAATGAGTCACTGCAAACACACTTTGTTCCATACTCTTGTGATTCTCGTTAAAGTTCATGAAGAAAATTTTTTTTTTAAATTTCAGCTATATAATTTATATCATATTTAGATAATTAATAACGGTAAAATGTACCATTTACTTGAGTGACTAAGTAATCCATTATCTGAAGGAATTCAGCACACTTTTGTATTACCATATTCTTTAAAAAGTATATTTTCAAAACAAAAACAAAAAGAAAGAAAAATCAAAGTTCATTCACGATTTGTTGTTGTTGTTTATGTTATTAATATTATGGAGTTTTCTTTTCTCTTTCTCTAACAGCTAAATAAATAATTATCAGAAGGGGTTTGTGGAGATTTTTTAGGAATTTTCACAGATTGAAATCATGAGTCAGTTGAAGCTAGACCACCATTGAAAACCTGGAAGCACTGGACGGCCGTTCCGTCCTAGTATGGGAATCCTCAGCAGAGCGCATCCACGATCCCGCACCACGCGGGGCTCGAACCCAGGATCTACTGGCTTCGCGCGCGAGCAGTTAACCATTAGACCACTGAGCCGGCATCCAACGGTGTTAATGTCTAACTTCAACCAATCCACGAAGTTGCGCCACCATATACCATTGTCTTCAGTGAGCTGATATCTCACAACAGACCTGGTTGTACTCCACTGGTAACGGCTTCCCACTAGAACTCCAGGAGTATCTCTTGAAGTCAGTCACTAGTGAGCAGATGCTTATTATCAGAAGGGGTTTGTGGAGATTTTTAGAAATTTTCACAGATTGAAATCATGAGTCAGTTGAAGCTAGACCACCATTGAAAACCTGGAAGCACTGGACGGCCGTTTCGTCCTAGTATGGGACACCTCAGCAGTGCGCATCCACGATCCCGCACCACGCGGGGTTTATGTTAATAATATTATGGAGTTTTCTTTTCTCTCTCTCTAACAGCTAAATAAATAATTCTCATTGACTTATCATCATCAATCTGTAGTAGTTATATGTTTGATCTATTTAATAACTGAAATAAAGATCAAATTGATTATTTATTGTGTTGGTTAAGTGTATTTATGTAGCTGATTAGTTTCAGTGTTAGTGAAATTAAACTATGATGTGCGTAATTTTCAAGGTAGAATATAATCGTGAATAGTTAAGTTTCATTAATTTGAATAATTAGACGAACGAATCATAAAGTAACAGAAATTATCATAGTCTTTGAGAATTTTAATTTTAAAATGCATCACAAAATTGTTTACGAAATCTCGAAAGCCTTGATATGGCCGAGGGAGGTGAGAGTCATCTCACCCTCTCGAAATGCTCTTACATGGCCATGCGTATACAGTCTCTGCTAGGGAAGTCTTACTCATCACTGCCTTCTCGTGGCGAGGGTGTTGTTTACAAAATCTAGAGGGCAGAAAGCGAATGTCTGATGCTTCAACCAGATTCGTCGATTTTGAGGATTCACCTAGGGGAGTTGGAAAACCCTGATTCCAAACAAATGGTGCACATGGGCTCCATAATCCTGAAGGAACGATCCGCGTATAAACCTATTGTCGGTCACTGGTTACCATGAGACTGCATCTCCCAAAGTTGTTCCACTACCTTATGGATTAGATCTTCAAGTGGAAGACTCGGGATGTGGCCCCCTAAGTAAACCATGTGCTTCGGTTTGGGTGCCCGTATAGTAGTCTAGCTTTCATACAAATATATATATATATATATATATATATATATATATATATATATATATATATATATATATATATATACTAAAATTTTCACCAGTTCCGATTAACATTTTAGGAATTCAAATGAAAAATGATTGTCGCAATGTAAAGCATTCGTCAGGAAACCTGATGATTTTGGGTTTGATTGTTTCTTGTACAACTCTTTACATGTATAAAAGCAAATATTTGCAATGAGTTTGTGTATATTCAACGTGATTTAGGGGTTCAATTTAGAATGATGATGAAAGATTGTCACTCAAGTGAATGCTTTCCAAGACTAACTGATTTTAATCATAATTAAAACTATCAATGTTCACTAAATGTTATTGGTTTGTTGTTTACCATTCTATTAATTTTAGAAATTTTCTTCTTATTTAGAATAATGCATGTTATTAGGATGTATATTGCTACATGATATTTATTTTTATTTAGCTGTAATCTTTCAAGTCATTGGTGCAGTTCATTATGTACATATCAGGATGGTATACTTGTAGCACATAATGGATCAGCTTTATTTCATCCGTTTGATGATCATAGTGTAAGTGATATTCTATGTATAATACTTATTTCTTTTATAATTATTAATTTAACTAGATTTAATTCAAAATGCTCAAATCTATGCTACAATTTATTGTACGAAGAGTTAAGTAATATCGCTTATTACGTAGTTGTTTTAACTCAGTATATAACTTGGTGAATTATATTGTGTTTATGTAAGTGACACGTGTTCCCTACTTCCACAATTCATCTCAGTTAAATTAAAATAGCCGATTTCATTTAGTAGAATGTGAGGAATTAGATCTAGAGTTTTCATCACAAACTGACATCAGCTAAAATACCAAAAACACTATCTAGCCAAATGGATGAATGAATTTCGCGCTACAATCCAAGACCTGTTATCTCATATTTGATTGATTCATCCATAAATATAAAGTCTCTCTTTCTGTTTATTTTCTTTGTTCATCAATGGCCCTGACTGATAGTCAAATGTTTAAGATTTTGCATTTTGTAAAGAGTAAGGCTTAGTGAGCATATCCCGAAAACTATATCCAACAAATACATAGAAATTCGTGAATATATTCAGAGTTGACTTCAACAAGGGTGCTGATTTGTTTCTAAGAGATTTAATTACTATGTAGTATTTTTAATGCAATCATACTTATGAAAATACACCAAGATCATACACATATGTGATAATGTTTTGAATAGAATTCGAACTGGACATCTGGAACCGAACGTCTTTTTTTCCCATACATTTGAATTGTTTTTAGTTTAAGTATAATTATCATTTATACTTACGTATAAAATTTTAGGCAAATGTATTCACACCACTTCGTGGATCTATCAATAATTTGGAAAATATCTATATTGACAGAATTGAACCACTTTGTTTACCTAACGGAAATAGTTTCAAGTTGTAAGTTTCATTTTGTTCTTACAAAAATATATTTACACCATTGTTTTGAACACCTACTAAAACTTATTTATAACACTGATGTGGATGATAAACAATGTAGAGTACCTTTAACAAGTTATTCCATTTTATACAGTAGTATATCTAGAAGAAAGAAAATGGAAAATTGTGAAACAAATGGATAGAAATATTTGTCATGAACTTACTTCGTAATTAAGCATAAAGAATGTTTTTCAGTAAAAGGTTGTGTAGGCCGTTGAATTTCATTAAAATCATGGACTTATGTAAGTTGGACAACTATTGAAAACCTGGAGGTATCGGACGGCCGTCTCGTCCTAGTATATGTGGACAGTGAAAATAGATGTGACTGACCATTGATGGTGAATAGATAGATACCCATCTTGTCGACTACTTAATTTTTGGTTTCTTACCTATTATTGCTTTGCACTTTGGACTCACTGAGTGTGACTGTTAGTCATTGTGTTGAATATAGTGTTGTCCAGCATATGTTCCGATTCTGTATTATTGATTGTGATTTGTATGTTTGTTATAACGTGGTATTGTCAATATACAGCTTAGCAATCGAGTATCCAGACTACTACTAGTAGTAGTAGTAGTAAAACCTCGTTCACCGGCCGTATTATTGTGTTAGTGTAATGTAACAGGCTGAAATAGTAAATATTTTTATTCAGCCGTTATATCAGAGAATAACGAATGGAATCAATGGCTTCTTATGACGTTTAAAACTGTATAGAAAAGGTATGCATAATCGTAAGTACAAAAAGCTGAGCTGACAGTAAACCTTGGCTCTAGGTTTCATTCTATTCGGCACTGGACAGCAAGGTGTACATTGAATCTTAAAGTAAGCGGTGATTCCTGATGTATTCAACCCTCTGTCACTCAGCTTCACAGTCCGAGACGTGTTCATCTATTCCTTCAGGTAATATGACTAAATTTAACTACCATATTTATAGTCTACTGTTTATGATTATATATTATGCTGTTCAGTATCCCCAATGTGTGTTGCAGTAGTTGCTCGTTAATACACTGTGTTATAGATATACACTTGATCTATCATCTTTTCTTTATTATCGACATGCAATAGTAAGCCTTATCAGATGATTGAAATAGAGATTTGTGTAGAGTGCGTAACGGAACCAATTTTTCTTTGTTTATTGTAGATAAAAGAAGGGAGAAAAAAATGACTGAACGTTCTCATTCCAGTTAAATTTCATATTTACACTCAACATTATAATTTGGCAAACTGACTTTATTTGTTTTGTTTTTTTTTGTTCATTTAGATTTTATATTGTAACAAGCAAATTAAAATCTGAACCACGGATTATCTTCTTTAATAGTGATGAGCATATGCTATTGAATATTTCGGTTAGTTACTATTGTTTACGCATAAAAGTAGAGCAAAAAATTCTTTTCAATAGTTACTATGACTTGTTTGAACATAGATTTAAAGTGAACTTTTCATAATTCTAGTAATTTTCTTAGATGCCTTGTTAATAAACTATGAGCATAATCACAATGTAATATATAGATTGTAGTAAACAGTGAGTATTATGCATTGGAAATTGATTAACTTAGGTTCAATTAATGTTTGTTTTTTACTACAATTAAAACAAGTCTGTTCATGTTAATATCATGTCATTATGATATTTGAATGAATGTGTAGGTGGGTACATAACCTGATAGTTTTACAATGTGAAAAAGTTCAGTTCATCTGTGTTAATATTGTTAGAAATAGATTTTATGTATAATTATTTTATTCTGAACATTGTTTATGTTACTTAATTGTGGATATAGGGTTATGTAGATTATTGAATTTCATTGAAATCATGAATTGATCCAAGTTAGACAACTATTAAAAACCTAGAAGCACTAGACAACCGTTTCGTCCCAATATGGGACTCCGCAGCAGTGCATATCCACGACTGCGCACATGGGAGTCGGATCCACGATCTTCCGTCCCACGCGTGAACGCTTAGCGTCTAGACCTTGGTGTTAATTTCGTAGATCTGTACTTCTGAGGAGTCCCGTGCCAGGAGGAATTGGCCAGTCCGTACATTTAGATCTTCATTGTCGATCCAACTTAAATCAGCTCATAATTTCAATGAAATTCAACTATCTCCACAACATGATAAATATAATGAATCAATGGTCAAATTTGATAATAGACTCTACAGAAACACTTTAAGCTCGTGAATTCTATTTCTTGAGCGATCACTGATGCTTTTCACTAAGGAATCAATCGTCAACCAAAAAATAAAGAAGCTGCTTAGTGCTTTTTAATTTTCAATATCACACCAAATGAATTTACTATTTGATGGAAAGTTTATAAAGAGGTATTTTGAATTGTTTATTTCAAATTTTACTGGTCATAAATAATCACATTGTATCTGTGTTTATCCTTAGCTGGAAGGAATGGATTTACAAGTCACTGCTTATTGTATCACTTCAACTCATCTTGATAGTGAAAATTTAATAGTGTATTTATTGTTGGCAACGTCGGATAGCTTTCTACGTTTGTTGAAATGTTCTATCAATGTTTGTAATAAATCGAAATTAAGCAAATGGGAACAGGTAAGAAGTGAATAATCACTGTCCTTATTTCTATCGTATGTTTCATATTGCAGTATGAGTATTTTAATCAAACGGTAGATTCAAAAGCGGCGGGACTATAATTGATGGACGAAATAATCAGATTTAAGATAAAGAGTCTCGAATTTTCGTGTGACAAGCATTCATCCATTTGGCTAAATAGAGTTTTGGCATTATAGACTATGTCAGTTCGTGATGAAAACCGTAAATCTAATTCCCAACCCTAACCATCAACTGTAAATTATAATCCTAATTCCTCACACTGGTTTATAACCCTCACTTAGTCCTAGTTGGTAAGTGAACATTCTCAAGTTTATTTTAGCATCTCCCAGAGGTCGTCTATAAATTATATTCTCACCGTTTTAAGCATCATAACGTTATCCTTATTCCACAAACATATGATCTTTATATTAAATTTCTTCTGGGATTTTGACAAAATCATCTATTTGATAGTTAATTTATGTCAACCTGATTAAAAATATACTTTACACAAATACACACTTGTATTATGGTATTTCAGATAATTTTCCATGGCCAAATTTTAAGCATGTGATAAATGTGTAGTATTTAAAGTAATATACAAGATATGTACTCACCAAAGGGTGAGATAATAACAATAGCAATGGAAGATCTCAAAACTTCCCAACTATGATCGTACCTCAATATCTTCACAACTGTTGTGTTTCTATGTATAGTACATAGCCTCTGGAAGAGGAGGACATATGTGGGTACATGGGTTACTGGTATGTAATCATAAATATCTTGAGTATCACATAGTGGAACCATCAAGTAGTTTATAATAATTATAGGGCTTGGTTAATAAATTACTATGGTAAGCTATTACGTAAGGTTGTGAACTTTTGTCAACTAAACTGCTCTAAGGGCATGCATTATGCAAATACTTCCATCAGTTGTTACCCAGTATAGTAATTACAGTTACATAAAAATGAGTCAGTTTAAAAATGGCCAATGGTGACTGACTGGTTGTTAATTTTGGCCCAGTTGAGAATTTCACAATTCTCATGACCAATGTTTGGAGTCTTTTAGTTCTGTAACTCAAATCTGGTTACAGCAAATATCATCCTGTAAATCCTCATATTTAAATATTACTTTGTACTTTTTACTCTTGAACTGAATTCGTTCTATGGATTGCTATATTCTGTCTATTTAGTTGTTTTTTTTTCTTTCATTGATACAACTATTTTGTTCCATCCATTGTTTGACTCGATAAAGTCAAACATTTATTGATGTTCATGAAATGTGGATCTTATGTAATTTGTATACACGATTTGGAAAAATCCCATTAACAAAACTGTAAATGTAAGAGGTTAAATATCAAAATTAATCGGAAAACGCATATTTTAGAGATTCATTAATACAGATTAAAGAAAAGAAACGAAGAGAAATAAAGATAATTTGAAACGGTTGAAATGAACAAGTTAATGAATAAAGGCTGACTAAACATTTATAAGTATGAAACAGTTACCAGCAATTATATAGATACATAAATACTATTATGCACACGTACTCAATATCACATACATAAATAACCGAATGACTGAAAAGATTAGAGCAACTAATCTGTTCAAAAGTCAGAATAAATCACGTAAGCACGGAAACATACTGTATCGTTAAAACTAATTACTAGTGAGAATTTAATTAAACTCACTGTAAAATATTCCATGAATTGTATACTTTAATCGGAAGTTTTCGTTATTTCTCTTATCCTCTCACTAATGATTTCTACAATGTATCGGGAGAAGAACATGTTGCAATCACACCTAGCATATTATTACATTGGTTAAAGCCTCCATATCTCTCAGCAGAACAGATAGAGAAAATGTGCAAATGTTATAAATCCTTAATTTCAAGTAAAGTACAAATGTATAGGTGGCATATTTTGGTTTGAAACGTGAACTGCTAATGTAGCTAAAGTTTACGCCTACATAACGTTATCTGAACCAGTTTAACTGCCGACAGAATATCCACTAATTATAAACACCGTTGTCACACTGTTGAGAATGAAGCTATCTACAAAGTCTGTTTCATCTCTGTCGAAGAATATCTAGGTTAGTCAGAAACTGGCTGTGCAAATAATGACTGGATTAGTATTCAGACTACAACACTATTAAATGCCATAACTGCTGAAATAGTGTCAGATTTGTTTAGTTGTAAAAGATAAGTTTAAATTAGAATACATCAGTATTAAGTAGAAATGCAAAGAGTGAAGTATCATTACAGATGGTATTCGCCACAAGATGTATCTGCATTTATGTAGTTGATTCCCAACAAGTAATTAATGTGTCGAAATCATAATGGTCGGTCAATGTTGAAATTAACTTGTCAGTATTTCAAATGTCATGATGACTTGAATGGTGGAAGTGTAGAGATGAGAGAAGGATGTGTAGACAATTTACTGTAAGCCAAAATCTAAGTCGTACAATTTGATGGAAACGATAATATGTACACCTCATTTGGTTTGAATAATCTCAGGAAAATTCCACCATATCATAAGTGCTAAGATTGGTGCTTAATTTGGACTTTGAATAATATGCTAAAGGTCACATGCATAAGTGACAGAATGACAGAAAACATTAGAATAACTCATCTGTTCAAAAGTCAGAATCAATCACATAGACATGTAACGATATTAACGACAACATACGATTTCCACTTCTTTGACCCTCTTTCTATCAGTTGCTTGTCGCTTTTGCTAATGTGTAGTGTAGTGATTTATGTTGATGCATACATTATATCGTTTCTAATGTATCCCTCCTTCGTTTTACAGCCTCCTCTTTCTATTCTCGTGATCGATTCTCGGTAAAAAAAAAAAAGCATACATTCAAAGTTTCATTCGATGCATAAATATATTTGACACTTGATCTTTGTGATGCCGAACTTCTCTAAAAATCTGCCTACTCACCATTTTAGAAGTAGTAGGTTGCACTTTGTTCAGTGTGTTTGTGCATGTGGTGATGGTGACTGTATGCTTAATTATGGTGGAATATATTTTAGAATATTTGTAGAGTGCGATTTCTTTGTTTATTTTAAGTGACTTTTATAATAAACGAATGAAACACCGCCGTGTCTGAATTGTTTTTTAGCGAGTTAGTTTTCTACGGGATTAGGTCGCTAACCCTTCATCCAGCCTTGGGATTGTCAGTAGCCCCAGAGGGGCTCCAGGAGGAGTTAAGAATGACACAAACTGAAAAAACTAGTGGTTTGTCATTTCAATTGATTTTTAAACATTTTCACGTGTTTGTTTTATTTTATCTATTGGGTTAGATCAAAATTTATCCAAGTGGCGAGCATATTACGAAATTGGTCACTTTCAATAAAGATCCTGTGAGGATTATGTGCTGCCTTCAGAATGGTCAGATTGATCTTTACACAATAGAACAGTAGTACTTGTCTTTCAATAATCTCTGTAACCATTACCTGTGATGACGTAATCTATCTTTTTATTCTCATTTTTCTTTATCATGTAACTTGTTTTGTTTAATGTTGTTAATTTAACCGATGAATAAACAAATTGAGAATAAAACCAACTCTTTTGTCAGTAATTACCTTCGAAAGAAATGTATTAGCATGGAGTGAGTTGATTCTCAGTTTTTCTCCGATCATGAGTCTTTCATCACAAACCGACTTAGCATCTGCAGAAACTATTATTATGTTTCAAACTAACTTTGGACAACACTTTAGAACTAGGAAGTTAATTAAGAATATCTCCAACTTCAAACATGACACTTGTTTGCTTTAGCAAACGTGAATTCAGTGTTAACGTGTAATCGGCACATATTCCATGGGTTTTCTCATTAAATTTCAAAGGCGTTGCCACAGGAGTAACTGATTGTGAGGATTTGACTGCCAGATATATTCTTTTCTTACATGAATCATTCAATGACTTGTACACTAATTCTCAAAATCGACAAGGGATTATTCATCTCTTATGAAATACTGGATTACTCTCTCCACTAAACGTAGCACAGGCAGCTATCACAGTCTTGAGTAAAGCATCAGATTTTTATTTGGAAGCTAATAACGACAGTTATACTTTAGGCCTTTTCAAATCTACTGTTGACTATTATGTTTCGTTTAGGTAAATCTCTCAAGACACGTATGAAGATCTGTCATCTATAATAAACAATTCACGACATCCTTGTGTATGCAATTTATAACCATTAAATGCTAATACTGAGAATTCAGTAGATCATATTGCAACATTAGAATTTAAAAGTCTCATGCTTTTGAATGACATAATGGACTCTAAGCTGCCTATATATGTTGACTCGAAGTATTCAATTTTATGTGCTCCCTAGGAATTCCCGAAATAGTGCGATTTAAGACAGGCAGAACTAGAGGAGAATAAACGAACGTATTATAGTCGGAATTCGTAATCAACGAGCAATCAAGTACAAAGGAATTATTAGTTGGTACAAATACTACATAGGCCACAGCTTAAACTGGAATCTCAACTTTTTTAGTCGTTTGTACTTATATTCATCGTGTGCCTGTCCGACTGTGTATTTGGATATTTACTCTGAATGATCTAGAGGTTACTCATGAGTATTTTAATTGACAACCGAAAATGTAACAGACTCACATGGTTCGTGGGATTGTATTCGATCAACATGCCGGTTGTGTGTACTGAAATAATTGATATCTAGAACCAGAACAATAGGTTTTCCAACATTCTTCACCATAATCCCTGTGTCTTGTAGATCATCATTTCCACGATAATATGTAACTTCTACAGACTCTAAACATCTCACAATCGAACGAAGAATCTTTTCTCTTAATAGCTTTGATGGAGTCTCATCACAGAATGTTTAGCACTTCTATATTGAAGTATAAATATGTCTACTTCCCTCTCCAGTTCATCAAATGTTGAAGCAGCAACGGGATTAATAGCACTTTTAAACGTTCTAATCAAAACATTTTCTATCTGACCATTAGACCAAGAGTCCCTGAGGGTGGTGAATGAATGTCTGCACCTTATACCATTCAACCAGGTGGTGACTGTATCTGTAGCAAAATGAGAGCCTGTGGTGGTCGGTATTCGATATAATCCTTAAACTTCGTATACAGCTCGTCTTGATAACCGTTCTATATAACGTCCCAACGGTATATTAATCAGAAGGCAAATACGGAGTGTTGATTACGTTTATTGCGAGACCATACACATATATCCAAATGTACAGATGCGTTAAACGAGCATAGAAGAGTTGTGCCGAAAGGCGAGCAAGCGATCGAGAGCCAGAGCAGGAGTGAGACGAGAGTGCGTCTATGTTGAATATGAATAACATGGACATATATATACCATGTGAAATGAATGAGTAATCGAATCAAATAAGCAGTTAGTAGTAAGACTAGCAGGTGAATAAATGCGTAGGCCGTAATCAATATTCAAGCATACTTATTTCATACAAGCACAAAATAATAAGGGTACAATAAGCTGTTATAGTGCGGATGACTTTGTCCACTAAATGGGTTAGCAAAAGGGCTTGACTGAGTTAAATGAGAATAAACTCAATTGCACGTGAGTCACTATAAGCCATTATTAATCACTAATACCATAGGAAAACCCTCCCGACTAAAAATTTTTATTAATGCTTGAATTGTGAAGTCAGAATATGGTGAAGTTGTGAAAAACGTCAGGCCATCTAGAAAATTATTCAATAACAAGTGCATAGTATTTTCAGGATGACGAACGAATTTGAAAGCGTCATGATTTGTAACAATAGTAAACGTCTCTCGAAATAAATATTCATGACGTCATTTGACAGAACAAAACACAACTAATGTTTCTCACTGTGTTTGTGAATATCCATGTTCAGCAACAATACGTTTGAGTGAAACAGATTACTGATCTAAAATCCTGTTCCAAAACTGCACCAGTACTCACTGCTGATGTATCAGTATGAAGTACAAAATGTACACTATGAAAGTGCGAAGAACAGCATCACTTGAAAGAACACTTGGTAGACATCGAAAGCATAACTCATGTTCTTCACTCCATTTAAATGTGCTGCTATTCCAGAAGATCATATGGATTTATTTGTCTCTTGAGAAAGACTGGATCACCCTGTACTTCAAGTTTCACAGCCTGAATTCTCATCCCTCCACTACATTTAGGACATATAACTATGTGTGCAACTAATGTACAAACGAACACTATCACAAACACAGTGCTTCCATGCTTTCCATGGTAGTCTAGCTTCAATTGACTCATGATCTCAACTATTGAAATTGCTAAAATCTTCACATAACCCCTTCTGATACTAATTATATATTTTATGTAAGTTTGTTTTCGAAATCTTTTAGCTATTTTGTATAACGGTAATATCATACAAATCATTATTTATATATTTACTACTATAGCTACCCCCTTAATATCAATCTATACCATTTACGCAATATATTCAAATATGTAATCTTTTCTTTTTATTGTTAACGTATAAATTGTCTTGAATCATTCAATAGTTTTCACATAATTCATTTTAAAGCTACTGAACATATGAGGATATTTTACTGAAGATCTGATTAAGAAGGATATTGTTCATTTAGATGTATTTATTGTTCTGAATTATAATGAATTTGATAAATAATCATTGTATGACTGAATATAATTTTAAATGGAAACTAAAATCGGTTAGTGAACTGATTTGTTTGAATTTGACATTTATCAATAGTCCTTACCTTTGCTAGCTTATAGTTGATTGCAATGAGAATAGTGAAACTTATTTGTTAAATATGGGACTAATCGATAACAATTACACGTTCAGCTAGTTGAAGATGCAATACATTACTGTGATTTTTTGAGTGATTTTTTGACTTTCACCCGACCGTTGTTGCTACCTTGACGTGGTGGTCGGGCTTGCCTATCGTGATGAAGCAACCGAGCTATATTGGCCGGAACATATGTTCCTGTAGGTTCTACCATGCCAGGCAGGTCGGTTGAAGAGCGGTAAGACTAAAAGCAACAAACCCAAGGTCCGAAGGCGAAGTCGTACTTCTGACTGTACAGAGGTGTGACAACAGTAAGGTGTTTCCTTCAGACAACCAGCATGACAGCGATGCTGCCTTCCAACAAGGAGGGTTGGGGTTAGAAAAGGTCGACCCTAAAAATACACACCTCGCCTTATCCCATGGATATCCGTCTCCTGTGGTAAGGTCTCAATAAGTACGGAGCTAACACAAAAATTGCTCATAAAAAGGTCGTGTGTGACCGACCTCAAGCAGTTGTCCCTTGAGCACTGCGGTCACGCTCCCAGGTCACTAAGACCACTTCTAATCCTATTTCCTTTTCAGGTGCCTCCAGAAGAACCCTTCCACAGTATGGGCAACCAGTAATTGATAACCGCCCTCACACCTCAAGACCACTGCTTGACTTTCAACCCTCATGATCACTGTGATAATGGTTACCCACTTGAGTTTGAAAAATCCACCTGAACTTTAATCGGTTGTGATAAAATTTCCTTTTACTGAGATCATGAACCAATCATTTTTAGACCACCACCATCGAAAACCTGGAAGCATTGGTTGTCCGTTTCATCCTAGTACGGGACTCCTCGGAAGTGAAAACACCCATCTCGTACAAGGGACTTGAACCCAAGATCTTCGGTCTCGCGAGTGGACGCTTAACATCTAGACCACTGAGCCGGTATCCAACAGTGTTAAGAACTAACTTCAATCAATCCAGTCAGTCAGTCATCTACAACGTAGGACCAGGCACATATGTGCATCGGTCCAAGTTGCCATACCTCATTAGCAAAACAAGATGAACACTGGATTCAGAGAAGTAGTTCATTCAGTGGTGGTAATATATAACAGAAAGATTGCATATAAGAACATAGTACAGGAGGAAAGAAAGATATGAAGCAATTTTAATCTCTTAGTTTTAGGGAAGATAGAGAGTGTATACACCGACGTCATTGTGATCGATCCTGAGCCATGTCACCAAGAATCTCCAGCCATTGGTTACGATAGTCACACGGACCCCAACCAAGTAGTCTGCATCTACCAACATGACTCAGACCAGAAGTTAGTGACTTCAAGCACTGGTGCCACGTTTTGGTTTGGCCGCCCCTAACTTTCTTCCAACCATCCCGAACACCTGTTAGCATTACACGTCGTGGTAATCGGTGTTCGGGCATACGTAACACGTGGCCCAACCATCTCAGTCGATGAAGATTAACAACCTCATCAATTGATTTACCATCATTCCCTAATACCCTGCGTCTAACCTCACTATTACTTACCCGGTGATCACAGCAGACGCTAGCAATATTTCTAAGGCATCTGTGGTCAAGTGCTACTAGCTTACGGGTGTCTTCTACTTTTAATGGCCATGTTTCGCTGCCGTAAATTAAAACAGAACGGACTGCCGCGCAGTATACTTGTCC